GGGCCGCCTCCGTCGGGACCCCTCCGCCCCGCAGGCCGAAGCGCGGGCCCCTACTCCGCCGGGGTGAGCGCCCTGGAGAAGTTCTCCAGCGCCGTTTTGAAAGCCTGCAGCAGGAAGGCGCCCAGCTCGGCGCTCGTCTCCCGCACGTCGGGGTCGAAACTCCCGAAGAGGGGCGTGGAGAGCCGGATGTCCTCGCGGCCGGCCCGCCGCAGCCCCGCGCGCAGCTCCTCCGCGATCGCGTCGTACTTCTGCTGGTCGAACTTGGACGCGGCCAGCTCGTCCTGCGGGTAGGCGGCGCCCTCGGGGTAGCAGTCCCTGGGCACCGGGAACTCAACGCTCCGCAGCTCGGGGAGCTCACAGAGCGAGGCGAAGAGGCGCCGGAGGGCGCGGGCAGACAGCGGGTTCCCCAGGAGCTTGAGGGCGCGCAGCCGCCGGCAGCGGCCCAGGCCCAGGATGGCCATGCCGACGTGGCTGTCGGCGATGCCGCACTCCTCCAGGGTCAGGACCCGCAGCGTCTGGGCAGTCTGGCCCAGCAGCCTGGAGAAGGTCGAGGGGTACAGGCTGAACAGGTCGTGTCCACTGAGGTCCAGCACCTCCAGGTGGGCGGCGTGGATGCAGTCTGCCAAGAAGGCCATGTCTGCGTGGTTCAGAGCACAGTTGGCCAGGTCCAGCGCACGCAGTGGGGTCCTCAGGGGGCTGCAGGGCGGAGAGAGAACACAGGTGAGAGGAGGCCCTGAGGAGGAGCTGGGGGTTAGGGTGACCACACACAGCCCACGCATTTGTGTATGGCTGGCTCCACACGAGGCAGCCCACGGCCACAGCCAGCTGCTGCCTGAATTCAGCGTGATTTTTTTGAATCGTCAAAAACGTCGAGAAAAGAATAGTCATTTGTGAAACGTGGAAGTTGCATGAAATACAAATGTCCATGACGGTAACTGAAACTTTCCTGGAGCATAGCCACATGCGTTCAGCGAGTACCAGCTGCAGCTGCCTCCATGCGACAGGGTGAGTGGCGTCTGCCTTGCACCGTGAAGGGTCAGCTGGGCCAGAGAGACCTGGCCTTTGTCCCCAATGCCGAACATGACACATCTGATCTTACCAATAACCTCTTTCGTCTTGTGTAGGCAAAAGTGATGGCATGGCCTGTCAGGCACGTCCGTGCAGAAGTTCACTGCGGCAGACAGGGCCATGTGAGTTAGCAAGACAGAGCCACCCTGTTCACTCGCAGGATTGAAGCCCACACTGTTTTAGATCTGGGAAGGACCCTGGAGGCCTCTAGTCCGGCCTTGGGCTCATCGAGGAGGCCTATGGAGCCCTCACGTGGCCCTGCGGCCCATAGTGTGACATGTCTGGGGTGGGTAGCCCAGTTCAGTAAATGGGCAGCAGGGTGAGACCTGCTCGGTCCCAACGTCCCTCAGGGAGGGCTCCAGAGCCACATTTGCACCCGGGGATGTCACCTCGTTGGCCTTGCTGTGCGAGGGAGACATCCCTGGGGTCCTGCTCCCTGTTCCCACTGCCCTTCTGCTGAGACTGTCTCTCCCCATCCACCTATACCTGGACCCACCTCATGAGGCCCGCCACCGGGCCAGCCTCTGATGCCCCTCCCTCCAGTCACCCTGGTCCTGTCCTTCTTGGCTGCTGCCCTTTCTGTCCTTTTCTCCAGGGCTGCTACAAGGCCCGGGCATGAACCTCCTTCTCGCCATGGTGAGGATTCTGACCTGTGTGGGAGCCCACGTGGTGTGGAGTGGAGGCCTCCCTTGAGGGTGCCCAGAGATCCCGCCCCGTCAGGCCTCCGGATGTGACAGCAGCCCCATCTGACAGCACCATAGCAACCTTGGGTCGAAGGCACCAAGTGCACTCAGACTTCTGAGTTAAAACAATGTTTGCTGTTTTCAGCCCCCAAGTGCCGGAGGACATGCTATTCAGCAACATCCATGGTGACTTCTGTTGTGTTTGCTTACGATCACACTCTCATTTGCTAACTCGCTGAAAGCAGCTTACCCGGAGCTCTCGGAATCCCTGGGCCACACACGACTCCTGCCCACTTCTGTCCTAGGGGCTGCATCTCAGGGTCACCTTCCCCTCGGTGTGATCTCTCTTCTGATGCTCAATCTGGGCATAGAGTGAGGCCCCGGGGTGGTGGCAGGCTTGTGGCCTTGCAAGCCAACAGGCCCTGATAATCTCTGGGACACCTTCATCCTCCTGCCCCGGCACCCAAAACTCACCCAAGCAGTGTCTGAATCTTCCCTGTCAGCATGGAGAAGGCCACACTCAGCTCGGTGAGCTGGGTCATCTGGCTGAGCTCCTGGGCGATGGCGGCAAGAAGGGGGTCCTCACCATTGGGCGTCGGGGCACAGGCGGGGGGTGCATCGAAGGCCCTGGTGGGCAGCGTGAGCGCCACCAGCCGGGGGAAGCCCACCTGGGCCAGCAGCTGCAGCACGTGGCCGGCATGCAGCCTCACGTTGTGCACCACCTCAAGCCTGCGCAGCGTGCCCGGCCCTGCCAGACGCAGCACGCGCAGGAGCTGGCCGGGGCTCAGGCTGTCTGCCCGGAATGCGAGGCAGCGCAGCTGCAGGGGAGCCCGGCCCACTGGCTCCAGGGCCTGCATCACCACCGCGAAGTTGCCCTCGGTGACGAAGAGGTCGGCGAGGACCTCCATGGGGTGCCCAGCCGCGAGGCGCTCTGCCTGAAGCTTGGAGCAGGTCCTGGCCAGCAGCTGGGTGCGGCCCCACCTGCCCAGCGCCCTCCCGCACGGGCACTGCTGCACCTGCACGTCTCGGATGCCTGTGAGGTCGGCCCCCCGCAGCCGCGGGTGGCTCCCGCCCAGCTGCACGTGGTCCGCCAGGCCGCACACAAGGGCCTCCAGGCATGCTTTGCAGGCCCGGTCGCACAGATCCACAGGATGGTCTGAGCTGGGACCCAGCAGCGCGCCCAGGCGGAACTCCTCCGTGGGCCAGCTCCCCAGGACGGCGCGGGTCACCTCTGCCTGCTCCAGCAGGTAGCTGGCTTTGAACAAGAGCGGGTAGAGGTTGTGGGCCACGCTGTCCAGGCTCTGCCGGGCCACCCTGGGGTGGGACGCCAGGGCTTCTGCAGAAACGAAGCGGAGCGACTTCATGGTACCTGCGGCCCCAGCAGAATGGCGCTCGCCCCTCCAGACTCCCCGAGGCGACGGCCCTTCATGCCTATTTTTAGTGGCAGCGGCTGTGAGCAGCTGGCCCCTGGGCAGGACATGGCTAGGGACCCTTGTGTCATCTGACAGCTATTTTGGGCCTGGGACATCTGTGTGGCTGTCACCACGGAGGTGTCTGGCTAGCCCCGGGCACTCGGCCACTGAAAGCAGTACTGCTGGCCCGGGTGCCTAGCGCACACAAAAGTGGTCAGAGAGGCTGGTCGGGGATTCAGAAGGCCAATCCCGAGGTGTTCCTACGGGCATCCAGCAGGGCCAGTGGACAGCCCCAGTCTCCTCCCAGAAGGTCTGCTGACCGCTGTCAGAGGAGCAGAGCAAGCCTCAAGCCTAGGCCCTGGGCCACACCTGGCTCATGGGTCTTTCTTCCACAGTGGCCTCTGGGAGCCCCCCACCTTTGCCTTGCCCCTGGGATTGAGGGGCATGGGACCAGGTCTGGGGGGGTAGCACCTTTTCTTGCCTTCATCCTCCCCAAGGGTCTGCATGCAGGGGGAGGGAGCAGCCAGTCTTACTGCAGGCCAGGACAGGGCAGAGCTTTCCCGAAGGGTCGCCAGCCCTTGCCAAGCCTCCGTTTCCTCATCTGCCATCTCAGGTCCCACAGGCCAGGAAACACTGCAGGTTAATGGGACGCACCTGCAGGGTGTGGCGGTGCCTGCTCCTCACCCTCAGCCCTAAGGGTGTTAAGTGACTGCTGAGTCACGGGCCCCACTTGCCCGGCATCCCTGTCATTGGGGACAAGGCTGCACATGTAGCTCACAGGAACCAGGATGTTCACAGGTCTTGGAGGGTCACAGCCGAGAGAGAGACAGAGACTGAGATGGAGGTGAGAGACAGACACAGAGAGACAGGCAGGCGAGAGGCAGAGACAGGCAGTGGGAGAGAAGGAGTGGGGCTGGTGGGCGGGGCTGGTGGGTGAGCCTGCAGTACCCCCAGCCCCACCATCCGACCCTCCCCAGGTTGTCCCCTCCACCCGAGTGGCCCCTCTGGAGAGGGTGAGGGATGGGAGGGGATTGTGCTCCCGTGGTGGGGCCCAGGCACTGCCCAGTGGGAGGGCATCTGTGTGAGGAGGGGGCCATGGCCCCATGGCCCTGCAAGGGGCCTCCCTCGCCTGGCAGCGTGGGCCCGGGCCGCCTCCCCTCAGTCCCAGGTGCTTGGCTCCTGGTGAGATGCATAAGCAGCGTCCCCAGATACATGCCCATTTCAGGACTAGATAAGAGAATCTTGAGGACATCATAGAAAACCAGGTTCCATTTATTTATGTTCTTAAAGTCTTGAACAAGTCAGTATCAAGAGAGAATAAACAGTTTACAACAGCTAGCATATAAAATAATTTCCTGTTTGGCTTCTGAAAAGCAGTTTCTAGAACCTTCCTTTGCCTACTCAGGAACCCCTGGGTCTAGGAGGGCCCCTCTCTCCCTCTGTTTTTATTTTCCCTCCTTTTGGCAAAGGTGGGGGGCGGAGCAATGCCAACAGAACCACCCAGCACAGGCATGGTCAGTTTCAGGACCAGCCCCAGCACTCCTGTCCCAACCCACAGCCACAGCTCTGAGTCTGCGTGGGAGGCGGTGCATGGGTGACCAGTGGCCTTTCAGACCCAACTCAGGAGCGTCTCACCAACCACACACGTCCTGTTATATGAAACAAACCGAGATTCCAGTTTATGCAGAGATGGCTGGACCTAGTGGGGGATGCACCAGGGACCCTCCTGCCCCCGGCCTTTCCCCGCAGGGAAGGTCATGGGTATACGGCTCTGGGATGGCTCACTCTGCCGCGAGATGCCCCAGCCTGGCCACGGCTGTGGACACAAGGAGGCCCCACGGGAGCTGGGGTCCAGGTGTCCCAGCTGGGCTCCCGGGGGCCTCCAGGGTGGGAGAGTTCAGAGCCACATGAGTGTGAGGGTCTGTGGCTGGTTGGCCCTTCTGCATCCCTGCCGGCTGGGCTGGAGGAGCCATCCCCAGGCGGGTGGAGGCCAGGCCATGCCCTGCGGAGGCATGGAGCCTGCTCTGGGGTGACTTCCCGGCCCCGAGGGCAACGCTGAGGATGTGGAGGCCCCCGCTGAGTGTGTCCTTCCTGGCCTCGGGCGGAGGCGCCTCCACTCCCGCTGGTGGTCTCTCCCTGAGGAACCACGTCTCATCGAGGCCTGTCACAGCTACCAAAAGAACACCTGCGGTTACTCACGCCCACAGCTCCTCCCTGGTCCTGCTGTCCCCTGAGGCTGTGACAGCGCAGATGCACCCTCACACCCAGCAAGGCCTCTCAGCCCATGGTGCACAGCAGACTAGGCTCACAGCCAGGGCAGGGAGCGCACACTGCACTTCCACCTCCCACTGTCTGCCAGGGGGGCTTCTGATTCTTGGGGTCAGAGCACCTGGCGGGGTCTCCAGGCAGCCGGGGGGGAGCTGGTACAAGGAAGCCTGGGTCCCCAGGAGCCGCTCCTGACTGAGGGTGACTGTGAGGGCCTGGGGTCAGTGGGCTGTTTCCGACTACCCTCCAACCCCAGGCTGGCCTCCTGGGAGGATGTTCACACCAGGGCCAAAAGATGTGACCTGCTAGACCCAGCCCCACCACAGCCCCTCGTGGGTACACCTGGGGTGTTTGGGCTTCGAGACACAAGAGCTGCGGGCTGGTGAGTGGGGAGGCTGCCCAGGGTCTGGTTAGGCAGGGGATAGGGTGCCTCATAGAGTGCTGTGTCAGACCGCGCAGTTGGGCTTCAGAAGCATCTGGAATAAGGTGGCAAACTTGTCAGGGGCCTGGTGGTGGGGGCACACCAGCATGGGGGAATCAAGGGGACGTGCAGTCCCCGGGGTTACTTTAGGGTCAGCCAAGAAAGTCCTTTGCATATGTTCAGGCAAACCTCAGGGAGGCCTGAGACATGGGGATTTGTTCTGACTGTGGGAGGCACTGTGGTTAGGTCAGTGTGATGGGTGGGCCCCAGGGGTAAGAGACGTGGACCCTCCAGGGTGTGCTCTAAGACCTGCTTCCAGACCCTCTGGTACCCTCACACCTGACCTTGTCCCTTCCAGAGCCCCGGGAGGGTTTATGACTTCGGATGGACACAGGCTGGACTGAACCCACAGCACCCGAGGTGATAGTGCCGGGTTCCTGCCCGATTAGCCTCCTGAGTCCCCTCCTTGTTGCCCTCAAGGCATGATGTTGCCTCCCAGAGACAGTCTGGTTCGACACCAAGCCCTCTGAAGTAAAAACACACCTTGCCTTAACACTCGGAAGCCACACAGACTTGCCTAGGATGGGACCTGCCGGGAGGCTGGGACAGTGGGCCGAGTGAGCACCTGGGAAGGGCCGGAGCTTGAGGCCAGGATGGTGGGGCTGTGCGAACATCCCGGGAAGGGAAGGGCTGGAGCTTGAGGCCAGAACCCCACCACGTCCTCAGCCAGGAATCCCACACCTGCTTCACATGGGAGCTCAGTTCAGAAACCACCTCCAGTGGCCAGCCATGCTCACGCAGGGCCTTGGGCTCTGCCGGGGAGGGCTGGGGTCCCACTGAGCCTGGAACCAGCCCCTGGGGACAGGGCACAGTGCAGGCTTCTGTGTTGGGCAGAACCTCAGCCAGCGTTGGGCAGACTAGGACCCACAAATCTCACTGCAAATGACTCGGATCTGCCCATAGGGTTCGAACACACCAGAGATGTCCTGGGTCCCACGGCCGCCCTAAGCCCCAGGACCGTGGGTGTGGGCAGGGATGAAGAGGCCGTTTCACACGTGTAAGGACCCACGGGACCTGTGTGGCCCAGCAGCCAGGTGTGGCTTGGGCAGATTGGAAGACCAGTACTCACGGTAGTGGTGAGTGCACTGCTGCTGGGCAGAGCTGCGGAAGCACCAGGAATCAACTCTGGGAGGAACTGGGACAGGCCCAGGCTGCTGGCACCATCCCCTGATGTGCACGGTGACGACCCGGAGCTCACGATCCCTGAAGACAGGAGGGCGTCAGGGCTGGTGTAGCGGGGCCAGACCGCACAGTTGGGCTTTGGAAGCATCTGCACTGGTCCCCTCGGCTGCCTGCATGCTCTAGCGCAGGCCAGGCGTGGGAGACCGCAGGAGGCGCAAGCAAGCCCGCGAACACGGCACCCACCCTTCAGCACCTGGTATTAGCTTATGTGTTCCCAAGCCCCTAAAAATGAGAACAGGTGTTTCCCGCTTAAGGGAAACCAATCGCACTGCTCGTGCAGGCTGAGGCCAGGTCCCAACAGAGGGACGCCCTGCTGCAGGCTGGAGTGCCACGTGCTCCAGAACCAGTGTTCCCATCTCTGCTTGTTCGGAAATCAGAGCCAGACCCAGTGCAGACAAAAGGCCAGGGAGGGAGGTGCTCAGGTCCAGCTGGTGTGGACATAACTCAACCCTGACCTCTTCTGCTGGCAAGAAACCTCCAGTCCACACTGTGCTCCACGGCTAGATGTGCAAGTCAAACTTGAAAAGCAGAAAATGAGGCCAAGGCTCACATGGCTTGAACAAAAGTGGGAACAGGACGGTCTCCCAAGCTGCATACTGCCTTCCCTGCTGGCATCTCAGCCCGCCAAGTGGCCCCTGCATCCACCCAGATGGAGCCACAGGGGTCCCGGCCTGTGGGGGACGCATCCCACAACAGGATCTGTGCATGTAGTTCCTGTGTGTCTGGCAGTGACCACCCACAGGCACCTTCCAATCAGAGCAGACACACCTGGGGTTGTTTTCACGGGGCAGTGGCTCATTTCAGGGTCCAGAAGGCACCTTTCCCAGATGGTGTGGCCAGAGTGTGGGCTGCTTGGGGGGCTGCAGGTGGGTGACCGTCCATACTCAGGATGCTGCAGGCTCTGTGGGCATAGCCCCTTCCTCTGGGGGAAATGCTGTGTGCATGATTGTGTGTGCTTTTACAAATACTGCCTTGGGATACAAGTGTCATAAAATACACATCTTTTTTTTTTTTTTGTCTTTAGAAAGCAGGATTTGTTGGGAAGACAGAAAAGCTCCTGCAGTGGGAGGGAACCCGAAGGGGTTGCCCAATACACACCTTTAAAGCCTGCAGCCTGACCACTCTGGACATAGGAACACACCCAGAAAGTTGCACACCCATGGTATTTACCAGCAGGTGAGTGACACTGTTGGTGCTAAGTCTCTCACCATTAGTTTTCTACTCAGTCCTCTGCTTTTTGTTCCCACTCCCTCTTTTTCTACATTCTTTGGGTTGAGCTTTTAAAATTCCATTTTATCTCCTCTGTTGGTTTATTAGCTGTAGTTCTGTTTTGCACTGCAAATAAATTCAGGCTATTTTTGCTTAAACACCCAGTTATCTTTTAAAGAGATTTACATGAAAAGAGGAAAGTCTTGCATATTCCACAAGCTCTTCATGTTTCTTCTCCCTGAAGGTCGTCCTTTAACACTCCCTGTAGTGAGAGCTGCTGGTGATGACTTGTGTTACGTTTCTGTGTAGAAAGTATCTTTATTTCACCACCATTTTTGAAATAGCTTGTCAGGTAACAGAGTCCTAGGGCGCCAGTGTTCTCTGCAGTGCATTCCAGGGGGGCCGCACTGCCCCTCACCTGCCTGCTCCTGAGAAGTCAGCTTGGCTCCTCCGACCAGAACACACCACTGTCCTCTGGCTGCTTTCAGGGTGTTCTGTTTATTTACACAAATTGACTATGATATGCATTCACAGCTTGTGCTCGGGGTTCACTGATCTCCTTGGATCTGTGGGTTTATCACCTTTATCAACCCTGGAAAACATTCAGCCACTGCACCTTCCAATTTCTTGTCCCTCTGCTTTATGACACCGACGATGTATTTATGAGGCAGCTCAAAGTTGTCCTGCTGCTCACTGATGTCCTTTCTTCTCCTTTTGAGGGGAGATTATTTTAGCTCTGTGTTTCATTTTAGATAGTGTGATGGCTAAATTTAGGCGTCAACTTGACTGGATTAAGCCCAGAGGACTGAGAGAGCATTATTTCTGGATGTGTTTGGGAGGGCGTTTCCAGGCAAGATTGGCGTGAGTCTGTGGACTGAGTGGGAAAGATCAGCTCCCGTGTGGGTGGGCACCGTCCAGTCAGCTGGGGGCCTGGATGTAACAAGGCAGAGGAAATATGAATTCTCTCTTTCTTTCTCTTGGAGCTGGGACATCCTTCTTCTACTGCCCTTGGACATCAGAAATCCAGGCTTCCTGGCCTTTGGATTCGAGACTTACACCAGTGGCTTCTTAAGTTCCCAGGTCTTTGGCCTCAGACTGAGAGTTAAACCTTTAGTCAGCTTTCTTGGCTCCGAGGCTTTAGAATTTGGACTCAGTCACACCACCAGTTTCCCTGGCTCTCTGGCTTACAGACGGCCTGTGGTGGGACTTCTCAGCCTCCATAATCACCTGAGCCAATTCCCCTAAAAAATCCTATCTATCTGTCGTCATCCATCTATATCTGTCATCATTCTATCTATCATCATCATCTCTCTCTGTCATCTATCAATCTCTATCTGTCAATCATCTAATCTCCTACTGGTTCTGTCTCTCTAGAAGATCCTGACTGATACAGATAGTCTCCACTGGTATATCTTCAAGGTGACTAATGTTTTCTTCTGCCAAGTCCAATCTGTTCATCCCATCCAGTATAGTTGTAAATTCAGTCTGGGTCTTTTACATATCTTCCTTATCATTACTTTACTTTTTGGAAGCCTGGAATGCAGCTATAATCACTGTTTGAATGTCGATGACTGAAATTCTGTTTCTGTTTCTTTTCTTTTGTATAGATGGGGTCTCACTATGTTGCTCAGGCTGATCTCGAACTCCTGGCCTCAAGCAATCCTCCTGCCTTGACATCCCTAAATGTTGGGGTGACAGGCGTGAGCCATGTACCCGGTGGGTGATAATTGATGATTCTAACACCTGCACCAATTCCCAGCTGGTTTTGCCTGGCTGGTCACTCTCCTCCAATGGCCTGGGTTTCCTTGCTTCTTTGCACACCTTGTCTCTTTGATCAGATGTTAGACATGGTGAATCATACCCTATTGGGTGCTGGGTACTTTGGTAACCCTACAGATTACCAACTCAAGAAGTTTTTTTTCTGGGATGTCGTTAGTTACCCAGAAAGAGTTTGATCATTTTAGGTCTGGCTTTTACGGTTTTGTAGGTGGGTCCAGAGCAGGGCTCAGTTTAGGGCCAGCTATACCACTCCAGAGACAAGTCCCTCTGAACACTCCACCCTGTGCCCCATAAACTGTGAGTCTTCCGACCTGGCTGGTAGGAACAGGCATGGTCCCCAGCCCACGCACGTACCAGGAGTTGATCTTAGGCCATTTCAGACAGTTGTCCCAGCCTCAGGTCACTTCCTGATACAAGTGTGCAGCTGGGCACCCTGCTGGGGCTGATCTGGCACAATCTCTCCCAGTACAGGTGTCTCTGCTCTGGGCTGACAGGGTCTCCTCAGCTCTAGGAAGCTGCTGGGCTCCTCCCTGCACTGAGGCTGCGACTCTTAAGGCAGAATTCTGGGGTGATCGCTAGGCCCACACCTTTTCCTTTCTCTCAGGGATCACGGTCCTTTGCTGTCAGACGCCCTGTGTTTTGAAATCTCATGTTTCATGTGTTTTATTGGTTTTTTTTCATTTTATTTTGTTTCAAGTCTGTTTCCTATTACTTTGTCTTGGGTGGAAGGTTAGATTTTTAAACAGAAAATTTTAATTTTGTTTGAAAATTTGAGGAGTGTGTAAAATCCAGTGTCATAAATGACCCAGGTGGTGGCACCCCATGTGCACTGCCTGGGCCACCTGAATCAGCACCCCCCCAAACCCAGCAAGACCAGTGTGCCCACTCCGCGGCGGGCTTGAGCTCACTCACGCACGGAGGGCTGGCTGCCCGTTTCCAGCTCCAGCTCGTCTTCCTCAATGCAGGCTCTGATGTCAGATGACCAGAGGCTGTGGGTGGGGCTCCGCAGGCCTGCCGGGGCTGGGCCGGCGGATCCATGCAGGCTCAGTGAACCTAGGACGGAGGAGGACTGGCTGCTGGAGGAGGACGTGCTGCTGTCCGAGATGGTGGAGTGTGGCCTCTTGAAGGCAGCGCTGTGGTCACAGGAGGACACTGTCATGGACGCCTGTGCTCGCAACTCTGGAAGGGGACAGAAAACAAGTCAGTCTGGCTTCTGCTCCAGAAGCACGGCCCAGGTGCCAGAAGAGGATCTGGCCATCTGGAAGACTGCCCACAGCCCAGTGCACTCCTCAGGGCGGAGTGAGAACAAAAACTGTGGCCATGTACCTGCTCCCCTCATGATGCAATCAATGGCCCGGTCGCTTATGGCCGCATCACTGGGCTTGATGTCCATGAAGGGTTTGTTGCCTATCCCCATAGACACCATTTCTTGCATTCTGAGTTCTAAAACAGAAGAAAGTATAGAAGTTTGCAAAGCAGCTCCATGGGCTAACGCCACCCCTGAAGACGCTCGGCATGCCTGATGTCCTCAGCGCAATCCAGAAGGAGTACGTGGCTCCCCAGAGTGCTAGGGCTCCCTTTGCTGGCATCTGGTCTCACAGTGGCCTCTCTCAGGAAGCCCAAAGCAGCGACCAAGAAAAAGGAAGACAGGGGACCTTGGGAACTGAGTGTCCAGCTGGGGAGGAGGAAGGGTCCCTGTCTGCTAAAAGAGGGATGTGAACCCTGCAGCAGGTGCAGGTCAGGGTGGGGGTCAGAGGCCTGGGGGGAAGTGACCACGAGAAAGACAAAACGAACAGATTTCTAGGCATGCTTGAATGCTGAAAGGAGAGCTAAGCATAGCACGAGAGTTTGAGAATGAATTTATTCTTGGTAAAATTAAGCAAGGCAGCTGGGCTCGGTGGCTCAGCCTGTAATCCCACGCCTTTGGGAGGCTGAGGTGAGTGGATTGCCTGAGCCCGCGGGTTGGAGACCCGCCTCGGCAACTTGGCGAAACCTCATCTCTACGATAAATCAAAAATCAGCTGGGTGTGGTAGCGCGCCTGTAATTCCGGCTACTTGGAAGGCTGAGGTGGAAGGATCGCCGGAGCCCAGCAGGTCGAGGTTGCGGTGACCGGGAGTGGCCACTGCACTCCAGTCTGGGCGACTGAGTGAGACTCCAAAAAAAAAAAAAAAAATTAAGCAAGGAAAAAGATATTAATTGTAAGAAAATAATGTATGAGGACAGAAAACACAATCACATCTACTACCAGACTCAGTCATGCATATTTACATAGCCATCATGCATATATGGAATAACATTCTAACAAGAATGACTTTCTACGGGTCTTGGGAGACGAGGAAGAGGTGCAGGGTATGTGTGTTGCATTTTTATCAAGAGATAACATTTAAAGCTGATTAGTCAAGAGACAGAAATCTAACCCTGCCATACAGAGAGAGGAGTCAGTAGGAACGGAGTCAAGAACGGCTGTTTGTGGAAAAAAGAATTTGGAGGTGAGGAACGAAGAAGACCGTGGCTTTTTTCTCTATAATCCCTAAGCACTATTTTATGTTTAGAGCTATGTATGTGGATGCTGGACAGCTCTACAGTGGATTTGTTTGTGTAAGTTAAGTCTAAGCTTACTACTGAGAACAACCAAAAAAGCTGGACAAATTTTTTTGGTTTTTTGAGTCGCAGTCTCACTCTGTCGCCCAGGCTGGAGTGCAGTGGCACGCTCACGGCCATTGCAGCCTTGACTTACTGGGTTCAAGTGATCCTTCCGCCTCAGCCGTCCAAGTAGCTGGAACTATAAGCATGTGCGGCTACGCCCAGCTAATTTTTAGATTTATTGTACAGATGCAGTCTCACCAAGTTGCCCAGGCTGGTCTCAAACCCCTAGGCTCAGGCAATCCTCTCACCTCTGTCTCCCAAGGTGCTGGGATTACAGGCATGAGCCACCGTGCCCAGCTGTGGACAAATGTTTTAAAAACATTTGTTTGAAGGTTCTGAGGAGGTATCAAGGCAACCCACCCTTGAAAGGCCAACATCCTGGAGCCACAGACACGATCTGACATGTGTCACCTTTCCAGCCCCTCAAGGCACTGCTTGTGCCCAAAAGGCAGAGAATAAGAAGACAGCTGGACCCAGGAGCTTCGAGGCTGGGAGCTTTTGATAGTGTCACAGGATTGTGGAGCTGAGATCTGAAGTATGGGACCACCAGGGAGGAAGGGGCCTGTGAATATCCAGACATTCAGTGGGACCCAGAAAGTGAGCAAGGATCTTGCCAGGAGTAAAGACAAACAGAGGAGGGACCAGTTGATAAAAGTCTGAAGCAGACTTCATGCAGCCAATTCCTGACTGCACTGAAATGGTCCATCCCTGCTCCACCAACAAAAGCAAAAACTCTGGAGGCCATAACTTCAGCCAGGGCCTCACATTATCCTTACAACATTTCTTATAGCGTATCTACTATTTAACACAAATTATCAGGCACACCTGAAGAAAAGACCAAATGGAGAAAAGCCAAGAAGAAAAAACCTAGACAATTAATGTTAGGTTAGTGTGCTGTATCACGGGAAAGATGTAAAGAATTGTACAAAGAGTAGGTTAGAAAAAGTTTATTCAGAAGGAAAACTAAAAAAAAATAGGTTGAGCCACATCTTTAAGGCTGAAGAGGACCAAACCCTGAAGAAGTGTCTGGTGCTGAATGTTTCAAGCTGGATGTTTTTAAGGCTTTTTTAAAGAAGCAGGAACATTTCTGCAAAATGTAACATGGGGGGTGTTGTGGCCATGGAGATTAGCTGCCCAGGATAGCAGCAGCCAGAATTTCATATGGTAGACAGGGAGAGTAGCCCAAGGTCTGTAAGGCAAAGCTTTAAGACACAAACATGAATTTTAAATGTCACTGGATTTAGGAAATGAAAAGGTATTTAGCTGGGAGTGTGTTGTTCATGGGTGAGATAGGAAGGCTGGGATAGGAAAACATTCTTGGGAACGTTGTGGGAGGGCTAGAGTCAAAATATGAGCCAATTCCAGGCCACCTGCCCGTGATGGCTGAGGTAACCCTATTTTGACTTTTTTCAAATTAAATATCCACAAGAGATTGAATATTGGCAGTCTCAGGGACATCGAGATAACCAGGATTCATGTGTTAGGAGACAGATCACAGGATGGAGAGTCTCAACAGACAACTGAAAGCTATCAAATAAAATAAATCAAATGCAAACTTACATATCAAACATATAATAACAGAAGCCAAGAACTAACTAAATGGGTTTAATAGCAAAGTAGATCAATGAACTTTAAGATGAGTATAAAATATTTAGACTGAAGTAGGGAAGAAGTGATAAAAATACAGAAAATACACAAGAGATATATAGGAACATGACAAAAAGGTCTAACATGTGTGTAACTGGAAGTCCAGTGGAATGCAGAGAGGGAACGGAGGAGAACATGAGAAGAACATGAGAAGATGCAGCGTTTGGTGCAACGTGCAGGACACACACAGACAGCCACCCTCAGGCAGTTGGAGCACAGCTGGCCTGGGTGCCAGCCAGCCAATCATTCATGGCGGTGTTTTCCAGGGTCTCTCTTGGAGAGGTTTCCTGCCTGCCTGTGGACAGGAGAGAAGTGTCAGACAGTTAGTACCCCCGAAGGAGCATCAACAACGAGGGACAGGAATTGGCAGAGAAACACCCCAGTCCCACACACGGGATGTGGGCCAGTGCTGAGGTAGGCCTGTCTTCCAGAGGGCACCCGCGGGACCCACCCGTCCCTCATCCTCTGTGGCCGTCCTCTTTTCCTCTCAATTCCCTGTTCCCACAGAAACATGTGAGACAAATAGAGAATAAAAAATAAGACAGCAGATTTATATCCAAATAACCAGTCATTACATAAATGTAAACACACTACTCCAATTTAAAACAAAAAGCAAGAGACATATCTTAAACATAAGGACATAAAAACATTCCAAATGAGAAGATGGGAAACTATGGATTTTGCAAACAAAAACTAAAATAGCTATATTAATATAAAGTACAATCAGCCCTCTGTATTCATGGGTTCCACATCTGCAGATTCAACCAACATTTGAACAAAAAACATTAACCCTAAAAAACAACACAGTATAACAACCATTAATATAGCATGCACAGTATATCAAGTGTTACAAGCAACCTAGAGACCATTTAAAGTGTATAGAAGGATACGTGCGGGCTGTGGGCAGACACTACGGCATTTTACATCAGGGACTTGAGCAACCACAGATTTCAACATCCATGGGGTCCTGGGACCAACCCCCCACGGATGCTGAAGGACAACTCTAGACCTAAAGCCAAGAGGCACTACTAGAAATAGAGACACTGTGTAGTGATAAGAGGCTCTGTTTCTAGGAAGACGTAGCAGTTTGCATTCGAATGCACCTAGTAATTCAGCCTCCAAACATATAAAGCAAAACTTGACATAACAAGAAATAATAGACAAATTTAAATTTTTACATCGTCACGGGAGATTTTAACATGATTTTCCTAGTAAGCGATAAAATCCAATAAGGACACAGATAATTTGGCCAACACAGTTTTCAAAACGCTCTGTACCTGACAACTATCAAACACACTTCCTTTCATACACATGTGGGAAATTTACAAAATTCCCGGGCAACACATGTCAGAGACTTGAAATCACAGTGTGTATTCTCCAGTCAAAGCAATCTTAAACTCAAAATCAAAAATATAGCCAGAAAATCTTGGAAATTAAGTAATACATTTCTAAACAACCCACGAGTCCAAGAAATAATCAGAGTGGAGATGAGAAAACATATGACATATAAAAACTTGTGGGGTGTGGCTAAAGCCATGCTTAGAGGGAAATTTGTAGTCCCATGCACTGCACAAACACTAGAAAGGAAGAAAGGCTGAAACCAATGATGTAAGCATCTGCTCGAGAAATCAGAGTAGGGGCAACACATCAAACCCCAACAGAGCAGAAAGAGGAAAATTAATAAAGAGGAGACACTAATGAAATGGACAATAAACACATGCAACAAAAAGTCTCTCTCCTGAGAAGACTAACTGATAAATCCCCGATGAACTGGAGATGTCAAGAGAGAGCCCCAGTGACCAGTAAAGGGATAGAAAGGGTGCTAGGTCCTAGAAAAAAGCATCCTGCACCTCTCTGGAGGTGGCCCAGTGCAGCCACTGAGCCAGGACTTAGCCTTGCACCCACACCCACTGCCCCAGGCCTGGCAGGATCCCACATGCTCACCCCACACTCACACTCAGCAGTCCACCGGACCCTGTTTGCGGGGGCTGTGACATTAGATTGGTCAAAGGCCAGGCACAGTGGCTCATGCCTGCAATCCCAGCACTTCAGGATGCCGAAGAGAGAGGATTGCCTGAGCCCAGAAGTTTGAGACCAGCCTGGGAAATATAGTGAAACCTCATCTCCACAAACAATTAAAAAATTAGCCAGACATGTTGGCATGAACTTGCAGTCCCAGCTACTTGGAAGGCTAAGGCAGAAGGACCACCTGAGTCCAGGGAGCCAAGGCTGCAGTGAGCCATGATTGTTCCACTACACTTCAACCTGGGCAACAGAGTTAGACTCCACCCTGACTCAAAAAAAAAAAAAAGGAAAACAAACAGATTTTTAAAAACTTACATAGTTCAAACTGAAAGCTGCTGGAACTTTCAGTCATGGATGACCAGGCAGCACCAGAAATAAGACCCCTTCAGAATGTCACTCTTCCGCATGAAGTGGTAAAGCCATCTTTCTTGGAAATAGCAAGCTGTGCTCATCAGATCACTGTAGTTGCATACTGGCCTTGTATAAGAAAACTGTCACACCCCTGCTATAACCTTTTCCGTCTCTAAGCAAAGTCTCAGCTTTCATACCTCAGAGCACAGACTCCATGCCTTTGGAGTCTGTGTTTCTGGGTGGCCATCTTCACACTCTGTGCTGGAATAAACACTTAATCATATTTTCTGAATCTCATTATTTAAGGCTGACAGGGCCAACTTCCTGAAGACTGTCCAAGTACTTGGAATATAGGAAGGAATGAAATGGACAAAGTGACACCCAGGGAGGGGTTTGTGCATTACAGCTGGACAGACCCCACACAGGAAGCAGGAAGAGTGGGTTACAAAAGAAGGAGATGAAACGGGGTCAGGACGGTGCTTTGTGATCTCAGAGGTGAGGGCTCCGGCCAAGCCAAGTGCCCTTGGAACACTGGGCTGTGCAGCCAGTGAAGTCCTGGGGTGTGTGCAGAACAGCAGGAGGCTGGGTATGGGGTGGGAGAAGGAGCTGGGGAAAGAGGGGCGGGGGACTCCTGGAGGACGCCATGGAGCCCTGTGCGCCCGGCAGGGCCATTGCCACGGTATTCCAGGAGCGAGGGGGGAGGCCTGGGCTATCCCTGGAGAGGGGTGAGGGCTCAGCTGGGGTGTGGCTGTGCAGGGCCCTGGTCATGCTGGTAGTCCTGGCATGAGAGCCCTAGGGTTTCTTAGGTCTGAGGGTCAGTCTTGAAGGGTGAGAGGGGCACCTGGGTTCACAGTGACTTGGGTGTCTGTGTGGCTCCTACGAGCTGGCACTGGAGCTGAGTCGGGAAGGTCTAGGTGGGAGGGTCACTGTGAAGATGGACGAATGATGTGGACAGAGGTGCCCATGGTGAAGAAATTGGGGCAGAGGAGCCAATGAGAGTGGGCATCAAAGACAGAGGAGGCCTGGATATGATCTGGCCGCAGGGGACTGGAGCTCTGGGAGGACCTCTCACCTGCAGCCAGACCACAGGCTGGCCGTTTGCCCAGCTTCCCAGGCTATAGGGCGTGGGGGGGTGGAAAGCTGACAGCAGGTTAGGGGGACCTGCAGCCAGAGGGGGGACCTCCACCTGGGGTTGCCACGGTGCCAGGTATGTTAGAGGGGTCTTGCTTATATTAATTTTATGGACAGGTGAGATGTATGGCAGTGCTGCTGGGTCCCATCCAAGCACTTCTTCATAAATGTGCTGACAGCGAGGGTCCAGGTACCTCAGACAGGACGGGCATCTTGGGTGAATCGTGTGAACAGAAACAGTGGTCTGTCTACTAGGGGCTCTTAAAGGTCATCAGGCCCCTGCAGAAGGTTGACTTTAGAGAATGAGTCTCTGAGCTTGACCTCTTAAGTACCGACCTTTTGTTACAGATTCAATGCCTTCCTTATTTCCTTGTTCCTAGCTCAGACCAGATGGCCCTGAGATAGAAGACCCGTTGACGGAGGCAAAAGACCCCTTAGCTAGTACATCCTTAATGTGTAAAGTTAAATCCGCCCCTTCTCCAAAATCAAAAAAGGAACATTGCCTATAACAATCAAATTGCTGTAACTCCACACCTACCCTGTAAGAAAAATGATGTAATCCCGTTAATCTTTCCTAGACCTTGCCTATATAAACAGCCAAGCCTCCCCACTTTTGGGCACTGACCCCATCCTTCTATAGATTGTAGCCCCCCAGTGGCTGTCCTCAAACTCCGTGCACAAATAAACACAGTGTTTAATCATACCGCTTGAATTAATCAACAGGATTGACAGCCTCCTGTCCCCAACCCACATCCCAGGCCCAGTCCCTTGCCCTGGTTCCTGCTCCCCGGAGCCCAGCCCTGGCCCCCAGTTCCCAGTCCCCAGCCCCCACCCCTAGCCTCTGGCCCTGGCCCAATTCTCTGGGTCCCAGTGCCTAGCCCTGGCCTCCTCTCTCCCTGAGCCGGGCAGGCCCTATGGATTCCCTCCCCCCACCTCTGTTCCGCAGTGCCTGCTGCCACAGGATCTTCCGGATGACATCAGTCCAGGCGCTCTTGACCTCCACCGAGCTTGCCTGGAGAACGAAGGTGTCCTGGGATTTCCGCCGCCGGCGAAACCAGATCTCAAACCTCAGGCCGCTGTCTCCAACATTCTCTGTCATTCCGATCTCGGCTGTCTGCAGTCAGTAAACACCGAGGTGGAGCACCGTCAGGAAACAGATCTTCCGAACCGCTGGCTGCGTCCTGGCTGACCATTTGGCCCAAACGCCTCAGGGCTGGAGGCCCTTAGCCCAGACACCACATGAGGGACATGTGGGATGGGTCCAGGTGGGACGGGCCAGGGTCTCGGTGCAGAGCCTGGGGCGCAGTCACTGGGGAACAGAGAACCAACCCATGGGACAAGCACAGAGCCAGTTCCCACACTGTCCAAGGCTCCCCACTGGAAAGAGGAGGGGTGGCCTAGTATGTTCTGTGGTGCCTGTGTCTGTTGTCACAACCCAGGTAGGGTCACAGTCCTGTGCTGTGCACTGGCAGACATGGGGTTATGCCTGTGGGTCCTTCTGTGAGCCCCAGAATCCTTGAGTGTGCAAGACTCACAAGTGTCCAAGGCTGCCTGTGAGGGTGTGAGGTTGTTCATGTATGAGCTGATTGTGAGTATGTGAGGCTGTTCACAAATGTGCAAGGCTGATCTTGTGTGAGGCTGTTTGGGTGTGAGGTTGCTTGTGAGTGTGCAAGGCTGCCCGTGAGTGTGCAAGGCTGATCGTGTGTACAAGGTTGCTCATGAGTATGTGAGGCTGATGAGTATGCAGGACTGACCATGAGCGTACAAGGCTGATTGTGTGTGAGGTTGTTTGTGTGAGAAGTTGCTTGTGAGTGTGCGAGGCAGTTCATGAAAGTGCAAGGCTGTCTGTGAGGCTGCGAGGTTGTGTGCAAGGCTGCCCATAAGTGTGCGAGGCTGCTTGTCCTCATAGCCTCTGTCAGGAAGGGAGTGACCTGCTCTCCCCAGGACTCGAGGGCCACATCTGTGAACCTGTCCACCTTGGATGCGGCAAAGCCCTCTCTGTGCACCTCAGCGAGCCCTGTGTTCACCTCTGCATGGGAGGAGACATTTGTTTTCAGCCACTGAACTGCACATGGGACTGGAGAGAACAAGTGTCTCCTGGCAGCTTTCGGAGGGCTGGAGTCTTCAAGACCACCAAAGAACCACCGAAAAGGAGCCAGTGTGGTGCAGCTCCTCCCAGTTTCCCTCTGTTCCAGTGTCCTCTGCTAATCAAGTGGGATGAGGGTCTGAGACCCCCTTGGAGAGCCCCAGCACCGGGTCACGCTCTGATCTGACCAGCGATACCTTGAAGGACTGCTTGTACAGATAGATGTCATCGCCTCCGTCCACCTTTTTGGTCTTGCTGAAAAGGATGAGGTCTTCAAAGAGGAACACGTGCCTCAGATACTTTTTCCTCCCACAGCAAACGATAAACTCATCCTGGCATCTCAGCTGCCCCTGTTCCTTCAGATTCACCTGTGGAGGGACATAACTTCCTCTGATCTGAGGAAAAGCCGGCATCTGTGGTCATACCAGTTACTATTCCCTTCTCAATGTCTTGGGCTCCATGACAAGCAAGATGAAACCTCACCTTGCCAAAATAGCTGGTAAATGCATCTTAATACCAGCATTTAAGTTAAAGGTTTCCCACAGTGTGGAACTAGAAACTGTAGCATCACATTTAAGAACTCAGGGATTTACCTCGTTCCCCCAACCCTCCCACATGCTGCTAGGACTCTGTTCAGGAGGTGGGGACTGGCAGTTCCCACACCACCACGTTTCCAGGTCACAAGTGGGGAAACTACAGTACAAGTCACTAACTCTCTACTTAAAGCTCTGGTCCATTAGATGGAAACCCCTTTGCTGATAATGGTGCTGAAGGCTCACTCACTAAATGGCCTCTGGGAGTCACACGACTCGGTCTCACATCCTAGCATCCCCACAGAATCCCTCGAACTGGATTGGACGGAGAGTTACTGGCAGATATGTTGCTGCCCGCCTCAGCCAGGCTATCACTCCCTTCACATGAATGACACACATGGTAAGAGCCTCTCATACGACCTTCCACCCCACTGATGCTTCGGTGGGTTCCGGGGTGAGGATGCTGGGACAGCCTGAGTCTCCATGGAAGTTATTCCTAGAACTTTGTCAGCATTTGGGGCTGAGATGGGCCTGTCTTTTCCAGCGGATGTGGGGTCCCAACCTCCACTGCTTGCTCTGCTGTTGGGGTGCCACCATTTCCTGGTCCCGGGGATTCTTTGGCCTGCTGGAGCCACTTCCTTGCTTGTTCATGGCCTTTTGGGTGTCTGGGGGCCAGGGCAGGCAGGACAGCCCTTCACCCCCAGACAGCGTGACCCAAGTCAAGGGGTCTGGTGAGACATAAACAGCAGGTCATGGGCAGGTGTGTGGGCGCACTGCCCTGAGGTCTCTGTCAGAGGGCCTGCACTGGGTTAACGCCACTGTCTTCAAATTCCAGCAAGGGGCCTGAATTTTCATTTTGTACTGGGCAATTCTATAGCCATCCCTCCTGATGGTAGGGACAAAGGGTCCCCTTCAGACCACGTCTCCTCTTGCTGCCACACCAGTGGTGTGGGAGGGTGTGCAGGGCCCTGACTCCCCCACACAGCAGTCAGTCATGTGCCGCTCTCGCAGGAGGAACTCAGAAGCTGGGGTCCCACGACTGATGCAGGTCAGCCCTATGTATTGCCTCTGGTGCTGACTCCCTCACACAAGCGGAGCGGGGGCGGGCAAAGCTCACATCCAGGAATCTTGCATTTAGCCTGAGTAAGCAGAGTTTTGGCCACTTGAAGCCAGCCTGCTTCACACATCCCATGAAGCTGGCAGCCAGCACCCACTGGTCGCAGACACGCCCTGAGGCCACAAGAACCCAAGCCTGCTGCCCCTGACGTTTCTGGACTTGCAGCCCCCACCTCCCTCCAGGTGGTGGTCCCTGGCCTCTGGAAGGTCATGCTGCGGGCACATCTGCCAGTGTATCACCAAGTGAGCCGTGCGCACTGCTGCAGCCTTGGCCACGCCTCTCACGGTGGGCCCAGACCTTTCCATCTTGCGATCAGTCCAAACCTCTCCAGCTGGTAGAGCCCGCCAGGCCCACGGGACACTTACGTCACAGCCACGGACAGCGTCCATGGCCAGCAGGTCATTGCCGTGGCGCAGCTGGAAGCGGACCACGTCCTCAGCAGCCTGGAGTTCGTCCAGCTCCTTCCCGCGGGCCGGACGGTGGGCCGCCTCCTTAACCAGGTCCCGAAGCAACAGGGCATACTTGCCCAAGCGCTGCACTGGCTTCAGCAGGTAGGAGGCCAGGTCCATGCTGTCACCCAGCTCGCTCTGCTTGTCCTGCAAAGGCCAGGCGAGGGGTCAGCCATGGCCTGACCAAGGGCCAGGTAGGGCTCTCAGGGTGGGGAGGGGATGACCTTGAAGAAGGTGCGGCCATGGGTGCCGAGCAGGGCGTCCGACTGGGGCTTGTTTTTGCTGTAGAGTGCGTACATGCCAAACTGCTCCTCCTGGAAAAGTGAGGGACAGCTCGGCAGGGGGGCCATGGCTGCCCGGAGATGGCAGGTGCCTGCGGCTCCTGCCCCCAGGCCTTCCAGGTGCAGTTCTCGCCACAAGCACATGAGGAGGAGACCGGGTCCTTCTTCAAAGACTCTCCAAGCGTCCCCAGCAAAGGGGGGATCCCGGGGTGGCCAGCTGACCAACTACAGCCTCGAAGCTGAGAATTCTAGAATGTGTCTTTAAAGTGCAGACTACAGGGGAGAGAGAAGGGGCACACCTGGAGAGTGAGCGCGGGAGGCATCTGGAATACTGGTTAATGGTCAAGAGCCAAGGCTGTGGAAACACTTAAAATTGCCACAATTATTGTCAATTGGAAAAGCAGAGGAGTTGCACTGTGGACCTAAAAGCACCTTTTAAGAAATGGCTGGGCCAGGCTTAGTGGCTCAACCCAGAGGCCCCACCCCTCCCAGCACTTTGGGAGGCTGTGACGAGAAGACTGCCTGAGCCAAGGGGTTCGAGACCAGCCTTGGCGAGACCTCGTCTCTACAATAAATCAAACATGAGCCAGGCATGGTAGTGCGCGCCTATAGTTCTGGCTCCTTGGAAGGCTGAGGCGGAAGGATCGCCAGAGCCCAAAAGGTCGAGGCTGTGGTGGCCAGGAGCGTGCCACTGCCCTCCAGCCTGGGCAACAGAGTGAGACTCCAACTCAAAAAACAAACTAAAAAAGAAATGCTGAACAGACTTAACACGTGGGATTTCTTTCCTCCGTGGCTGTTTTCACTATGTTTAATGGTTTCACTGTGTTTAGTGATGCTGAGATGGACCTCTCACCTGCCCACAGCATAGATGTGTCTAGAGCATGCCCCTTGAAAGGAATGCCAGCCTCTTTTCGGAGTAAATTGAAAACTTTATTAAAGACCCCAGTAGGGAGACACCATTTTCATGGTAGAGAAGAGACTTATGAGGAGAGAGGAGCTCCCCAACTCTGTACGTTCAATGTGCTCCCAGCCAAGGTCCTTGCAAGGTAACTCTGAGACCAGGACAGGCTGGCCCACCTGGTGGGTACCAGGGCAGCCCGGGCGAGAGGACTGTGAGGGGGATGAGGACAGGCCACTGGCAAATGGATTTTGGGGAATTGCTTTGGGCCCATTTGCCGAAAGTGGCCAAGTAGCAGAGTTATTGGTAGAACTGAGTGTGGTGAAGCAGGCTAAGCTGCTTCCTCTGTGGGCTGTCAACAGGGCTGCCGGGTGTCAGGTGGGAGAGACCTAAGAGGCTTAGGCCCACTCTGGGGCATCTGGTCGTTGGCTGGCCTTAATGTCCCGTCAGAGCTGCATCTCCTAAACTGGATGGATGCCACTCGAGTCGCTGGATGCGGGGGTCCCAGAAACCCCACCCTTCCTAACGTCAGCTTCACCCACCACGCTGGACCCAGCGCCCATGCCTGGTGCCCATCCCGCCAGAAGGAAACGCACGTGTCTCAGGAAGCAGCGACCCACGGCCAAGGGGCAGTGCTGGCAGCGCTCCAGCTCCTGGAGGAAGTGCTGGCGGTGGAAGTCATGGAGTTTCTCCAAGTTCCCAAAGAGAGCACTGCGCTTCCCTCGAAGGTCCTGGGGCAGGTCCATCCGGTCCATCTCGGGGAAGTAGTTGTCAATGACGTAGCCCAAGGACCTCACATACTGCCGCTCCGTGGCGATCATCTCGGCCATCACATGCTGCAGCCGGCTGCTGGGAGACAGAGACAGGATGATGCCCGGCTGCATGGACGCGTCATTACGAGCAAGTCGCATCTCACACAGAAACAAAAGTGGGTTTCACGCGTTCAGAGGAATGACTGCATTCAGGCTCGGCACTTGTGGGCGCACAGCAGGACCAATGCCCCAGGGAGCGTCTCCACCTTCAGCAATGAGCAGCTTCAAGTCTGCGCCATGCCTCGACTCCCGGAGAGCTCCTTTGAGGCACGGTCACACAGAAGGGTAAGAAATGGGTTCTCAGCTGGGCTTGGTGGTTCAGCCTGTAATCCCAACACTTTGGGAGGCCGAGGCGAGTGGACTGCCTGAGCCTGCAGGTTCAAAACCCACCCAGGCAACTTGGCGAGACCTCGTCTCTACAATAAATCAAAAATTAGCTGGGTGCGGTAGTGTGCGCCTGTAGTTTTGGCCACTTGGAAGGCTGAGGCGGAAGGATCGCTGGAGCCCAGCAGGTCGAGGCTGTGGTGGCCGGCAGCATGCCACTGCACTCCAGTCTGGGTGATAGAGTGAGACTCCAATTAAAAAAAAAAAAAAGAAATGGGTTCTTGAAAGAAACTTGTTGCACGAAACCTTCTCGGACATGGATTATGGTCTTTTCAGATGAAAGATCCCTTTGGACACCAAAAGGAGATTCCCAGGCTCCCCAACTTAAACTCTGGCCACAAGACCTCTCGCTTCCAGAGGGTTTGACTCTAGGGGCAGCTCAGGCAGTGGGATGACTCGAACACGACTGGCAGCCAGGCCCCCACAAAGATGGTTTGGAAAGCATGCAAGGAAGTGATTTTCTGACCCAGGCCTGCTGCTGAACTAGTAGAGTGTGGCCTTTCCATGGTAATCTCACCTACCCCAGAAGCTCAGAGTCATAAGCAAGTGCTGAAGGTGGATTCAGTGGCTAGAGCAATGGTGAGGCTAGCCCAGCAATGGACAGTGGCGACCAGACCTGGAGCCTGGCTGTCCACAAAGCCCTCCCCCTGCCTCGGCTGGGGTCTGCCTGCCCTGAAAGAGGTCACAGGCAGGGGCTGTGGACCAGATGCCGCTGGGCTGCTGTCCGTGGTGGGGGTGAGCCCCTGATTCGTTTCTGAGTCATCACGGGGCCCTTCCTGACACCACACGGTTGGCAGGTCCAGCTTCCCGTCTGCCTGTGCAAGAGGCAGACTCCTCCGTATCTGTCTGAGTCTCCCTCCCTCCACACTCCTAAGGCTGGACAGGGCCCAAAAAGACTGGCCACATGTCACCATGCTGCTCTGAGAGCTGAACTGGTGGGCTGGCCAGGTGCTGAGTATGTGGCCAGTCTGGTGGACGGTCCCTGTGTGCAAAATGGTGGAGGTACGATGGCATAAAACCAAAGTGGGCCTTCCAAGTCAGGTGGGTATTTTTGTGGTGTTGTGTTGTGCTTTGATTCAGGGTCTCATTCTGTCACCCAGGCAGGAGTGCTGTGGCATGATCACAGCTCATCACAGCCTCGACCTCCTGGGCCCAAGCGATCCTTCTGTCTCAACCTCCAGAGTATATATGGGATTATAGGTGTGTGCTACCATGTTTGGCAATTATTATTATTATTTTTGGTAGAGACAAGGTCTTGCTAGGTTGCCCAGGCTGGTCTCAAACTCCTGGGCTCAAGCAATTCTTCTACCTCGGCTTCCCAAAGTACTGGGATTATAGGCCTGAGCCACTGCACCTGAACTACTTTGGTTTTTATTTTTACTTATTTATTTATTATTATTTTTTGAGTTGGAGTCTCACTCTGTCGCCCAGACTGGAGTGTAGTGGCATGCTCCTGGCCACAACAGCCTTGACCTGCTGGGGTCTGATGACCCTTCTGCCTCAGCCTTCCAAGTAGTCGAAACTACCAGCACGTGCTGCCACGCCTGGCTAATTTTTGATTTATTGTAGAGACGAGATCTCACCAAGTTCCCCGGGTGGGTCTTGAACCTGCAGGCTCAGGCAATCCACTCGCTTCGGCCTCCCAAAGTGCTGAGATTACAGGCTGAGTCACCAAGCCTGGCCTTGGTTTTTAAACTATTAAAAACATGCCAAACATCCAAGAAGAGTTCTATGTTTGCTAGAAACAAAGCGGGCTACTCAGCGTGGTCACTCAGTTTCCATAAGCTGGAATGGGTTTACCTGGTCACCCTCAGTGCACTGGCCATTGATCAGTGTGTGAACCTAGAAGCCAGGGCCATGTGGTCCAGTCTGGGTTGCGGGATGCCCTATGTGAGGTTCTCTGGGTCCTGCCCTAGCGGGGTCCGAAGGTTTCACAGCTTTGTGTCACAGAAAGCATTGGTCAAGGGCATTTTTAGCAGGTTTGATGGTGAACTGGGGGCCCTATCCTAATAAATATTGAGGTGCTATTTCAATAGTTCTTCTTTACTTGATAGCATCCAATCTCTTCTTAAGTAACTCAATCCTAATGACACTAACGGGAGCTGACAGATTTTCTCCTAAAGTTATTTGTATTTACTTGTGTTTTAAAACAGAAAAAAATAAAAGCAGCCAACAATGGGAGTGAGCACACTTCTGGGCTGAAATGCTACTGGGTGCATCCCATCTGCAGCAGAACTGAAGAACTTGTCTCTTTTCACACCTGCATTGCAGGTTTTACAAACACTCTTGCTTCTGAGAAGATAGCCCCTCCTGGCTGGCCAGGCTGGAAGAACCATACCTAATGACTCAGCCAACCCAAATGTGTCCTTATCGAGCATTCAGAAGTAAAACCAGAGTGAGAATGGCCTGGGGATTTGTCCAAATCAAGTGGACAATCCACTCACAAGGAAGCCACAGCTGGAAATTACAAGAGGCAGGGGAAGGTAGCTCTCAGCAGGGGGACGGCCCACCTCCTGCATCCTGCTGCTTCCAAGCCTGCAACATGCACCTGGTGGAGACAGAAGCCTGTCAGTGCAGCCACTGGTGCAGACTCAGACACGTCTGGCCTTTCCCCTCATCTGGTGAATCGGAAGGTCCCTACTTGTCCTCAGGCCCAGGAAACACAACCTGGATCACTCGCGTCAATGGTAACACTCAACCTTCATGTTTTACCTGGAGTTTCCTTGTAGCAAGATAAAGGCCTACACTTTGTCAACTAAAGGTACTTCAGAGAGTATCTAGGAGCCTTCTCAGTTCAGATTGGAGTTGTGATTTGGGTGTGAGAAGTAAAGGCCTTCTGTGGAGACTACGGCACTCACAAAACTAAATGAGCAAAATCTCATGGAACTCTCCCTCTCCAGACTGCATGACTCGACAACAAGATAGGAGCGGACCCACCACCAGGTCTCACAACTCTCCAGCCTGGTGGGAGGTGACTCCCCCTCCAGCCCGTTCAACTCCAGAAGATGACAGGAGAGGATGGTGGTTCAGATAGCATCTGCCCTTAAGCAGGGGCTGAATGCAGTCTTCTTAACCAAACCATTAGTAAAAGGCATTCTTGCAGCATTCTCTTAAGACTCAGCAAGTTCAAAGGGGCTTTTCATTTGGACAACAGATAACTAGCACAGCTTCTTACCTCTCAGCACTTACACGCTGCTCTTAAAGGAGCAATTTTTATGGTAATTAGTCTTGGTATCAAGGGTTTGATTTGCTAGTCATAATTCTCTATAAATGGGCACCAAACAACTAGAGTTGGTTGCAGTTATTTGTTTAACTATCAGGAGGGTGTCACAGGTTACCACATGCCATTCAAAAGGAAGTTTTCAATTATTCCATCTGAACACGGGGCAGGTAACTGACATCTTCTTTAAAATTATGTTTTTTCTTGGACAGGGAGAGTGGATTTATTTTCTGCCTCTGCCAAGGGCAAATGACTTCGGGTTCCTAAATCTTCAAGGCCAGCTAGGACAGGGTAGGGGCATCACCTCACCTTCCTGCCCGCCGCAGCCTGTCCTCCTCAGGGGGGTGGATCCCGGAGGGAGAGGACAGACTCCGACTCCGAGTGACTGGGGGGCTCCCAGCCTGCAGCCTCGGCGAGGGCTTCTTCTCTGTGGTCACGGTGCTGGTCACTTCCAGGCCTCTGATGAAGACCCCGGTGTGGCCGAGCTGGCGGGCCTCCCTGGGACTGTTGAGCTGAGACATCTCGAAGCTCTGCGTTGTCTTCATTATTTTCTTCAGGGGATGCTTCCTGGGGTGGTAGAGGGTCTGGGCAGGCTCAGAGGGGCTGGCAGCGCTATGGTCCGGGCCGGCCATGGCGGCCCCTCCCACTGGAAGGCTGCCCAGGGAGGGCAGTGGGTCCCCTGGAGCACATACCCCTGGGCCCAGGGGCACTGCCTCCCCCCCACACAGAAGGGCTTGTCCCGGGAGGCCGGACCGTGGCTGGGCTGGTTCCCAGGCACGTCTCTCGGTGTCCACGAAGGGAGTTGAGGGCGGCTCAGGGGGCTGCCTCACAGCCTCCTGGGCACACTCATGCTCTGGGGAGCCCCAGAGGAGGGGAGGCGAGCTGGGGCCTGGGTGGGCCTCAGAAAGGGCCCCTTCCAGACAGAGCTGAGTCTGGGGGTCCCACAGCAGCAAAAACTGCTGTTGCTGTGATGCTGGTTGGCTGCCCATGCTTGACGCTTCCACACTTGCCCTCAGGAAGGCCTCTGCAGCCACTGGGGCCTCCTGGCGACAACGCCTCAGGTACTCGGTGATGGACCAAGAGGGACCAGCCTCCAGGCCCAGGGCCCCCAGGCATGCCACGCCCTGCCGTGTCCAGCCGCTCACCTGCAGGTTGAGGAGGACACTGGTCAGTGCAGTGGAGGAGAGGCCCGCACCTGGGTCAGCTCAGGTCACACTGCTATCCAGGTCGGCCAGAACAAGCACCAGGGTGACCAGACAACCAGAGTAGGAGGTCCTGCTGCCCAAAGCTCCTGCTGGCTGTGTTTGCCCAAAGGGCAGGCGAGTCACCTCTGAGCCTGCTGGGTCTGTTCTCCTGCGTGGCCCTGACAGCCCTAGGAGGGGATGTCCCAGGACCATGTGGAGACACTGCAGAGAGCAGTCATCCCACATCTCTGTGAGCTGACGACGGTGTGATGGAGCAGACGGCCCTACCCTGCTCTGGCCCCTCTGTGAGCCCTCCAGCTTCCGTCTTGATGGGCGAGCTCTGAGGCCTCTGCTCCAGGCCTGATGGGCAGGCAAGTCCGGGGTCAGGTGAGTTCGCCAGTGTGCTCTGCTTCAGCATCACCTGGGCTCTTGGACAGTGAGTGGAATTGTGTAACGGAGCAAGTGACCACACAGAAAAGCTCACATGTGCATTTAGCTGGTCTGTTTGGTGCCATAAGTGAGCTCACCACAGGTCTGTGGAGTGCCTTCTCGAGGCAGAGCCCAGCCCACTCAGGCTTGCATGGGGAGGTGCTCCTTGAACAGAGCAGCGCTCCCCGGGAACATGTGACCCACGGCCTTCCTGGAAAGCGTACCACCCACCCTGCTGGGTCTCTTACCATCTCACAGAATGCAGACAGGCGGGCCCCACCAGCCAGCTCCCCTCTCCTCTGCTCAGCCTGGCTGGCTACTGTGCTCAGACACCTGACATCCAGGGTTGTGTCCTCCTTGCTGTGCAGGTTCTCTTTCCCCAGCTGTGGTTCTCTCCGGCAACAGGGCTGCACCCAAGCACAAAGCGTCAGGGCAAGCCAAGGTGTGTCTGCGTCCATGCTCGCCACACAGAGTGGGTCTGCATGTACTCACCATCACCCAAGCTCGGAAGGCCTGCAGCTCTGCCTGCTGCTGCCTCGGGTTCTCAAGAGAGGGCAGTTCCAAAGGGCCAAAGCATTTCTCCAGCTCTTGTTCAAACCGCATTTTGATCTACACGGGAGAAGATTTTACTTTTAAACATATGACGGAGTCACTCTCTAGGACAGTGCGAGGCCAAGGAAGGGATGCGTCTGGGCTTTATCCTGAATGCATACAGCCCCGGAGCCAGACGGCCTCAGGTGTGCACCCATCTGTGCCAGGGGAACGAACGACACTGGTTGGTTAGAGGCAGCCACAGCCTTTGAGGCTTGAGCTCCAAACTATTTTCACTGTGTGGAAATGGAAAGTAAGATTACTGAACAGTGGGTCCAGATCTTTCAGTTTTGAACTGGTTAGTATGCTAGGCATATTCCAGAAATAGTTTTTAGGATGGTGGCTGCTTGGCCACTTGGACTGCCTGGGAGACATGGAGGCCCCTAGCCAAGCCCTGCTGGACATGGTGTCTGGTGACAAGACCAAGGTCCTTACTTTGCAGACTTATGTCACTGGATTCACAGTCAGGGTACCCAAGACAGACTCTTCATTTTCACGTGCCAATGTCATTACACAGCAAAACCAGGGACAGCTGGTTGTTAGAGACCCAAAAAGAGAGGTTTACAATGAAGAACAGATCCTAAGAACTGTATTTAATGGTCCCAGATGTATGGCAGAAATCTTGCTGGTTTGAAGACTTAAATATAACAATTCAAAGAGGATAATTTTATGATAAAATACATTAATAATTCTACAAACCTAAGGCAGAAGGGGCAATTTAAATCATAAGCAAAGTTAAGGGACAAATTACAAACTGTGGAAAAAATTGTAACATAAACAAAGGATCAGTACAACTTACATACTGAAACCATTATAAAAAGTATCTAAGTGCATGAAAAAGCAATTCACCAGAGAAGAAATAAAAATAATAAATGTGTGAAGAAAATGTTCAACTACAGCATACAAAAATCCAAATGTAAACTGCTGAAATGCTTAATTTCCACCTGCCAGGTTGGCAAATATCAAGAAAGGATAGAGAGGAGGCAGGCTGTGCTACGGAGGGACTGACTGGTGCTGTCTATCAGGAGAGCCACTGGCTGAAGTTGGAAGACCCCAGGCCCCAAAATGCTCTGACCTCAGCCCTCCAAGCTAGGAATGTATTCAAGCAGACAACCACCATGTGGAGGAAGAAGTAGAGAGACGTAACACAGATGTCCGCTCGCAGGCTGGAAGGAGCCGGAAGCCTTCCAGAGGACCAGTGCGAACACAACTCCGAGCTGAGGCCCACAGCACTGCCTACTCCAGGGACATGCAGCTCTACCCAGCACAATCTCCTTTCTGTGAAAAGCCATTTCTCTCCTAGCTTTCCCACAGAGTGCACACGCTTCTTCAGTTAGCAAATACATAAGCACACCACATAAGCATGACCACTTTTCGGGGTAACGTACATTCTGTTTCTGGATGAAGACGGCAGAGAAGACATGTGCCCAGTTTTGATCCCTACTGAAACACTCCAAAAGCTTAGTCAACGTTTTTTAAGGCATGACCCTCCAGGACAGGGAGAGCACAGAACAGATCGGGGCACAAATCTTCAGGCTGGGAAGAGGGGGGAGCGGAGGCCAAGTCCTGAGCAGATCCTGAAGTGACAGGCTGTGAGGGGTCCAGTTTTCACCAAACACCCCCCCAGGACAGGTGGGGTGAAGGAAGTGTGTGCCTGGGAACTGGGGGAGCCCCGGCCCTGCAGGTCAGGGGCTGGTTTTCTGGAGGGGGCGACCTGGAGAGGTCTGAGCTGCAGCCGGGCCCTCCTTCCAGGCAGAGACTAGAGGAAAGAATCTGACCAGCCTGGGAGGAAATGCTCAAGACACAGATGTGTCCTCAGGGCTCTGGGCTTCTCACCCAGAGGACCAGGCCCATGCTGACCTCGGGCAGACAACCAGGGATTGCCAGGGAAGCCTCTGGCACCAGCAAACCCCAGAAACTACAGCTGGCATGTCTTCACCATCAGTGTAAAGAGGGGCTATTCTGAGAACAAAGAAGCAGACAAACACAGCCCACGGAGAAGAAAAAGGACAGAACAGGACTAGGAGACCAAATTGGGAAAATCTACGACGAAAATAGAGCAAGCAGCCAACAAGATATGGGACAGGGTAAAGAACACGAAAGAAAATTCAGGAGCTAGCTGAAGGTGTGGGTTCACAGGAAATGGAAGGGGCCACAAGACACCCCAGGAATTCCTAGAACGGAGGGACGTGGATGCCGAAGTGAAGAGCCCACGGCCTTCGGTGCACCTGGCCTGTCCTCACATCCCAGCACTAAGGACGAAGGAGGCGTCTGTGGCTTCCAGTGAGAAGTGGTCACAGGTGAAAGGTGAGGGGTGGATTCACACTGAAAGCCGAGGGGGGGCCACGGGGCCTCAGAAGGGAAATTAAAATTGCGTCTGAGATGTGAAGGGGGGTGAAGCCGCTTTAAGCTATGCACAGCCTCAAAATGTTTCATCCCACGATTCCTTTCTTTGGTGAGTCCTAGAAGTCATTCTGTACAAAACAACAAAGTAAATGAAGAAGACTTGCGTATAAGAAATAGAAGACCCCAAAGGACAGAGGAGAGGGAAGAGGAGGAGAGACCCCGAGGTGGGAAGTGTGCCCAAGCTGGGGCAGCCCCCTCAGGTTGGCAGCTGATGACAGTGCTCTCTGGCTGCCCCCAGGACTCACGCAGGGGCCCAGCTCTGCCTGACCCGGCTCTGCCTGGATGTGGTGTTTCTGCTTCCTGCCCCAAAACTTGGGTCAGGCTGGAGTGGGGGTCAGTTGTGGAGCGACCAGGAGAAGCCACACCCCATTGCAAGGGCGTCTGTGCCTGGGACAGCCTGAAGATGGGGATACCCTGAAGACGTTTTGGCAGCCACTGGGAGGGCAGAGCTTCCTCCAGCTACGCCCCTCACCCCGCAGGCTCCTGAGTTCCACACTGCCCATCTTCACATTCATTTGCAGTAACAGTTATCGACAAAATAATAAAGACTTGCATACAAACATGTACACGTTTTGAAAGGGTCTATACGCGAGAAGAAAACAAATATTTTATCTGAGGAATGTGAGTCCCTTTGAACTATCAGGCCCAGAGAGGCCTTAAAAAGAGACAACAGGGGCAACCCCCCCGTCCCCTCCCCAGTGGGAGCTTTTCTGTCCTCTCAATAAATCCTGCTTTCTCCAAAAAAAAGGAAAAAGAGAGAGACAGCAGTCACCCCCCCACCGCCCCATTGCTGCCAAGTTCAGTAGTCACTTTGAAGCCATCTGCCATGTGGACCCTAGACCCTGCATTGTCCCCACAAGAGCCACCGGTAAACCTTCCAGGCCACCGGCTGGACCCCGTAATGCACACCCTGCAGTTCAGCAATGCACAGCCAGTCACTCACCAGTGTCATTTCTGTAAATCAATGAGTATTCCTGAAAGGGAACTTTGTCATTTCCCCTCTCCTGATTTGTCCTTTTTTCCTTAAAAACTTGAGCCTCTCCTTTGGTCTCCACAACACTTCCCAATAACCTGAAAGTGTTTCTTGGCTGTGGTCTTCAACCTTGGCCAAATACTCTCTACCTGTATCAATCTTGCCTCAGTTTCTTCAGGTCGACATTTGCACATAGATGTGGAGAAAAAGTCTGGAAGAGAATGTCCTGAAGTGTCCACACGGGTCATTTCAGAAGGCAGAGCGTGAATATAATTTTCTCCTTGGGCGCTACTGGATTAAAAAAAATTATCTTTCCCACTGATCCAGTATATCTCATGAAAGAAAAGAAAGTTTATTTCCTTTTACACAAGCAGCAGGCATGTTCTATCCTGGCACACTTTCATCCCAAGTGGAACTGGGTCTAGGCCCTAAGGACACCACATGAGAGTGAGAGGGTCACCTTGGCTGGCCCGACCTGGAAGGGACACTGACCCAGTCACCTCTCGAGCTCTGACCTGGTCACGCCCTTCCTCGAGTGTCCTCAGCTCCTGGAGATGCTCCAGCTGCTGAAGACTCCTGTTCGAGGCGAGGACCAGCCTGTGTACTTCTTCATCCACCCGGTTGTACAGCCTGGTGGCGGCCTCCAAGGCGTCCCTGGAAAGAGAAGGCAGTGCTCAGGGCTGGCCTGTCCTGGTCGCCACGTGTTCCCTGGCAGTTGCCTTCCTGAGGAATTCATTCTTGTTGACAAGCCAGTTTAAAAAAGCACTGTGCTCTTCACATTCCCTCATGCCAGAAAGAAATGGAAGCCCAGGAGAAGGCCCACACCTGAGCAGGACACCCACGTGGACATGACTGCCAACATCCCTGTGGCCACAGTGCGAGCACTTGGGGGCGGGCCTGGAGCAGAGCGTCCTGGGCAGGGACGGCTGCTGGTGGAGCTGAGATGGCTGGGACGGTGAGTGGTGGGCGCGGCTGCCCAGGCAGCCTCAGACAAGAGTGGGTTCTGTCCTGAGAGGCTGAGCCTGCTTTCCTGCCAAGCGCTCCGAGGAGCCTGCTGGGGCGCATGAATGCAGACATGCTCTCACCCAGTCAGAGCATGTCTGCTGGAAGGATGGAGGTCTGGACCAAGTACTGAGAGGGTCCTCCCTGGAGCAGAGCTGAGTGTCCTGCCACAAATCCTGCAGTGGCCCCTTTAATGGGCCAGGGTCCATGTGGTCCTGTGTTAGCACTCACCGCCCATCTTCTGCTGCTCCAGGCTCTTCTCTCTTCAGCCGTGCCAGGATGGTGCCACCCTCCAGCCTGAGGGACACGAGCAGTGAGTCTTCCAGGACAAGCTTCATAATGGCCTCATGCTGGCTGATCAACTTGGTGACGTCCTATGGGGGGTGAGAGGAAGGTTCCTTTAACCCCTTCTCCAAGGGGGTTATCCACCCCATTCCAACGCAGCAGGATAAGAAGTGCAACCTGTGCTCCTGTTTCCCTAAAAGAAGCCAAAAGCCTGGCAGGGTGGCTGCACCCATACCCCACACCCAGGCTCCTCAGGAAGGTAACAGTCCAGGGAAGGGGAAACTCATGGGCAGGAGGAAAAAGGCACTCAAGCTCAGCAGCCGGAAGAGAACCGGCTGTTCAGACCAGGGACAAGCACACCTCACCCGCAGACCCCGGGGACCCATGAGGCATCTCGGGAGCTCCCTGCCTGGTCTTTTAGGCTGTTGATGTCTGATGGTCAGTGCACCTCTCTGTGTCTGCTTTCGTTCGTCATTCCTAACAGCCAGTACTACCCATGCCTGTGGGCATAACATCAAACGTGGTGGTATTGTCTTCCTTCTGGGTGGGGTAGGACGCTTTTGGTGACGAGGGAGAGGCAGTGGTCTTTTGGAAGTCTTTCGCCAATTGAGAGAAAATCTATAATCACAAAGGATCTGAAAGTTTCTGCTACAGGTGATGGTGAACCAAATATTTATTTTCAAATTTGGCTCAACCTCTATGCCCCTGTCTATCTGTCAAATGACACAAATTTGCCTGCACTTATGAGAACTCACCTGGGCTGTTCCTAGGCTTCTGTGGGTGTCCAGGGAGCAGACTGAATTTTGCAGGAAAACGATAGCATCCTTGCAGTTTGCAGTGAAGTGTTCCAGCTTCTACCATAGGTTGGGAGGTGGGGATGATAAAGACATATTCTGTTAGAGGCCAAAGTAAGCAGCCATGGTTCCTACATGCAAACCCAGGTTGCTAAGTCTGCCATGTATTAAGGTCTCTGGAATCTATAGAAGCTTCTGGAAAGCAGCCCCCACCTGCCAGGGCTAGGCATTCTCAGGTCCACCATGGTGAGGTCATACAGATACCAAGACCCACATGGTGGCTGTGACAAGCATGTGATTCAGGCCGGGGATGCCCTTTTCAAATCTGAGTTAAAATATTCCTGTAAGGAAAAGTCCCGGGAGACTGCCACATTGCAGCAGTTGTGGGTTTAACCTACCCTTCGGAAGCAAATCCAATCACTATGGCTGTAGGAGAAGGAGCCACCAAGGTCTGCCGTCAGCTGGGAGCCATCAACAAGCTTGTGCAGGCCCTTCAGGGAGCTCACCACCTCACACTGCCGAGAAGAAGCATTCATCACTCAGGGCCCAGATGCATCTCTCAGGGAAAAAGCCACTGTCGTTGGCTCACTCCTGGGAGAACTACTATTACTGGGTTGTGAAAATGGAGAGGCTGGCTCAGGGTACTTCTCTCTGCTTTGCTGGTTGCTGGTGGCATCGATGAACAGCATGGTTTGGATGTAGGAATGAAGGTGAGAAGAAGAGAAAGGTGAGGGTAGCAAAGAGAAATGAAGGAAGGAATGCCTCAGTGAAGACCAAAAAAAAAAGAAGGAAAAATAAGAGAGGGCAAGAAGATAAGAGAGAAGGAAAAGGCAAGAACAGGGAGGGAAAAATGAGAGAATGAGTCAAGAGTGTTGTACTGAATATGATACAGCCATAAAGAAGGACAAACATAAGGACTTCACAGCAACTTGGACGGATTTAGAGTCCATCATACTCAGGGATCTATCACAGAAACAAAGAACAGAGTACTATATGTGCTCACTCATAAGCGGACCTTGAACAATTATCATAATACTATAAGAAAGAAACTGGCGGTTGTGGGAAACTGCTGGGGAGGGGGGTAGGATGGGCAGTTGAGGGAAACTGCTAGCAGAGGGAGGGTACACCTCATCAACAAGGGTACCTGCATAATGAACATTTGTACACCTAACCCTGCAGGTACCCCTCATCTTTAAAATAAAGAATTTAAAAAAAAGAATGTTCAACTTTGGGCAAGTTGGCCTTTCTCAGAAGAAAACCTCAAAGTATAAAGAGAGCAACTTGAAAGCCTGCAGGGTGAACAAAGTCAGGCTTACTGTGGAGGGCGAGGGTGAAGGGCCAGCACAAAGCAAGGCACACACTCTTGTGGCTCTGCCCTGTGAGCAGGCTGCCAATGCAGTGACTTCAGAGTGGCTAAAACCTTGATAGAGCCACAGGAGGGGGCAGGGTGGCCGAGCCCCAAAAGTGAACAGAAGTGAGAGAACTATGGAGGGAGCTCCTGTCGTGTGTGCAAATGCTGCCCAAGTCTCTGGCTGCTCCTGAACCATGCAAGCCTGCGGAGGACAGAGAACTAAGCTGAACCCACTGCAGGTGATGCGGCTTTCGGCTTGAGTCCAACCAGGGGCACACCAAAGCACACTCTACGAGGCTTGCAATGGCATCCAGAGTCTCCGCAACAGAATATTCACTATGTCCAGAAGACAACCCCAAGGGATTTGACACATGAAGAGTCAGGAAGTGACCTATTCGCAAAGAAAAAGACAATCTAAAGAGGTTGAGCCAAAGATGATCCAGATGTTGGCATTATTAGACAGGAAGCAGCTAATAAGGTAAAGGAAAAATGCTTGCAAGTAATGGAAGGATAGGAAGTCTCAGGAGAGATTTAGAAAATAGACTTTAAAACCCACTAGAAACCTTATAGCTGAAAAATACAATATCCGAACTAAAATATTAATTAATTCAACTTAATAGCTGAATAGAAATGAGAGAATAAGATGCCAATGACCTTAAAGATAGATGAGAGGGAAGAATCTTATCTGAAGAGTAGAGAAAAGTAAAAAACAAGGAGACAGATTCTCGGAGACTTATGGGACAATGTCAGCATGTGTAATTAAAATATGTGTAATTAAAGTCTTAGGAGACAGTGAATAAGGCAGAAAATAATATATCAAGAAACGATAGCTTAAATGGTCCTAAATTTGGTGATAAGCATACATTTACAAATTCAAGAAGTTCAACCACGACTAAACATGATAAATATGAAGAAAACCATGTCAGCTCACATTATAGTCAATGTGATAAAAAGAAAGAAAATTTTTGAAGAAGTCAGAGGAAAAATGAAAGATTTCATATAAATGAACAATCATTTGAATTACTATGAACTTTTCACTCAAAACTATGGACTCTCAAAGACAATAGAGCAACATCTTTAACATGTTCAGTGGGGGGGGCGGTGGAATTTAAAAATAAAATAACGTCCTGGATGGGGAAAATAAATCAAGCTAATTTCAGGTTGGAATTCGACATTTAGTAAAAAAAATTCTATATCCTTCAAGACTGAAAGCAAAATAAAGATCTGTTCAGATAAAATGTAAAGAGGGAAAAAAAAAAGGGAAGGAAAGAAAACAAATGAGATGGAGAAGAAAGGTCAGATTTTTAAAAGTTTTTTTGACTGCATACTCTGAAGGGCTCCCACAAGAAATTAAAGGATAAGGAGTAAGTTTCCAGCCTTCTACACAGGCAACCAAAACTTGTATAAATTCCTTCATGTGTTTTCATCTCATCTAGGTGCCCTAATGTTTAATTTTATCCATCACTTAGAGTCATATCTAATGCCAAGGGTCTAAAACCATTACCTGAATTGTTGCCTCCTTGTCATGCCTACATGCAGATTCTTTATCCACCAACAGCACAATACTATGAATTATGGGAGATGTATTCTAAAATAGATAAGAAATATGATAAGGTATACAAATGACCAACAAACATATGAAAGAATGTTCAACATCACTCATAATCAGGAAAATGCAAATTAATATCACAATGAGATACCACCTTCCACCAGTCAGAATGGCCATTATTAAAAAATCAAAAAACAATAGATGCTGGCACAGATGTGAAGAAAAGGGAACACTTACACACTGTTGGTGGGAGTGCAAATTAGTGAAACCTCTGTGGAAAGCATTACGGAGATCACACAAAGAACTAAGAGTAGATCTACCATCTGATCCAGCAATCCCACTACTAGGTAGCTACCCTAAGGACAGAGGCCATTATGTAATAAAGACACCTCCTCTGTATGTTCATCACTGCACAATTCACAATTAACAATTCAATTTAGGTTGATTGCAAAGATGTGGAATCAACCTAAATGCCCATTAGCTGATTAGTGGACAATGAAAATATGGTATATATACATAATGGAATACCATGCAGCCATAAAAAAAAATGAAGTCAAGTCCTTTGCAGCAGCATGGATGGAGCTGGAGATCATCATCTCACTCATATGTGGGTGCTACATGGTCACAGTGATGGAAATAAGAGACACTGGGGCTTTAGGGTTCAGAAACTGCCTACAAGACACCATGTTCATTATCCAGGGAATGTGCCACCTGAGACCCAATCCCCACCACGACACAAGATTTCCATGTAATGAATATGCATGTGTACTCTCCTACATCTAAAATTTAAACACGTTTTAAAAATTTTTCATTTTCAACTTTAATTTTGAGTGGTGCTACTTCTATTATATTCTCCCAGAATACCTAGAATACATAATACATAATTGACTTTGCTCTGAATGTAAATCATTTGCCCTTATGATTTAAAAAATGTAATCAGTTTTATTAAAGTATAATTTACATACACTAAAATTCAACCTTTTGAGTGTACAGTTCCATAAATTTTGACAAAAGCATATTTTACCACCATCATCAAGACAACAAATTGTTAAGCAACCCCAAAATTATTTTGTTCCCCTTTGTACTCAAGCCCTCCCCTATTCCTAGCCCCTGGCAACCACTGATCTGTTTTCTGTCTCTATGAATTTGTACTTTCCAGATATTATATGCACATGGTCATAAGGATTGACTTCTTTCACTTAGCACAGGGTGTTAGGAGTTAATCTATGTTGAGTACTTCAAGGTTTTGTTCCTCTCTTTTTTTTATTTTTGCTTGTTTTGGCTGGGTGGTATTGCATTATATACACACACAGTTTATTCACCCACTCACCAGCTGAAGGCTATTTGGATCATTTCTGGGTTTTGGCAATCAAGGGTAAAGTCACTGTCAGGTCAGATGGTAAGTGCATGTTTCCAGAGGCTGCACCATTTTGCCCTTCCATCAGCAATCCCAAACGTGCTGTGGTTTGGTTTTTTGTTTGTTGTTGTCGTTTTGTATGCACTTCATTTCAGTTTCAGCTGCATTTTTCCAGTGACTAATGATGCTGAGTGCACTTTCATGCACTTATTTGCCATCTGTGTATCTTTGGTGAAGTACATTAAAATATTTTGACACATTTTCTGGGCTTGTTTGTTTTCTTATTGCTGAATTCTGAGACTTTGTATATTCTGCATATAAGTCCTTTCCCAGATGTGCATTTTTTCCAGTTTCCTACTGTGTAAAATATAATCATAACCATTTTACGTGTACAGTTCAGCCATATTAAGCACATTCACAATGTAGCACAATCATCACCACCATCCATCTCCATAACACTTGTCATCTTGTAAAACTAAAACTCCATACCCATTAAACAATAATTCCCCATCCTTTCCTTCCCCTGGCCCCAGGCAACCATCAATTTACTCTCTGTGTCTGTAATTTACTATGCATGAATAGAGTCAAACTGCATTTGTCCTTTTGTTTGTTTCACTTACTATAATGTCTAGTTTCATCCATGCTATAGCCTATGTCAGAATTTCCTTCCTTTTTTAAGACCAAATAATATTTCATTGTATATATACCACATTTTGCTTACCCACTCATCTCTTGACAGACACAAGCATTCCTTCTATTTTACGCTACTATGAATAATGCTGCTATGAACATGGCGATACAGATCTCTTTGAGACCCTGCTTTCGAGTTTTTGAGTATGTACCCAGAAGTGATATTGCTGGATCATATGGTCATTCTATGCCAAACTGTTTTCCAAAGTGGCTGCACTATTCAACATTCCCACCAACAGTGTACAAGAGATGCAATTTCTTCACATCTTTGCCAACACTAATTTTTTAATAAGAGCTACCTTAACTGATTGTAAGTGGTGTTTAATTAAGGTTTTGATTTGCATTTCTCTAATCACTAATGACATTGAGCATCTTCTCATGTGTTCATTGCCATGCGTATATCTTTTTGGAGAAATGTCTATTCACGTCCTTTATCCATTTTTGAATTGAGCTGTTTGCTTTTGTTGTTGAGTTTTAGGAGTTCTCTGTTCATCTTGGGTATTAATCCCTTGTCAGTTATGCAATTTGCAAGATTCTTTCTATTCTGCGGGCTGCCTCTTTCCTCTGTTGATAGTTGTCTTTTGATGTAAAAAATTTTTAAGCTTTCAGAAAGATTCGTTTACTTTTCGTTGTTGTTGTCTGTGCCTTTGGTGTTATATATAAGAAATCATTGCCAAGTCCAAGGTTGTAAAGCTTTTGCCCTGTGTTGTTTCTAAAAGTTTTATAGTTTTCGGTCTTATATTTAGGTCTTTAATCCATTTGAGTTAATTTTTGTAGATGCTGTTCAGGTAAGGGTCCAGCCCTATTCTTTTGCATGTGGATATCCAGTTTTCCAAACATAGCTCGTTGAAAAGACTGTCCTTTCCCCATTAGATGGTCCTTCCCCCCATGGTCTTGGCACTCTTCTCAAAAACCATTTCACCATGTATGTGAGGGCTATTTCAGGGCTCTCTATTCTATTCCATTGGTCTATATCTCTGTCTTTATGCCAGCAACATATTGTTTTGATAACTGTTGCTTTGTAGTATGTTTTGAAATCAGGAACTGCAAGTCCTCCAGCTTTCTTCTTTTTTAAGATTGAAATTTCATATGAATTTTAGGTTGGGTTTTCCTATTTCCAAAAAACAAAAAGTTAGTAGGATTTTGATAGGGATTGCATGGAATCAGTAGATCACTTTGAGTTAATATTGCTACTTTAATACAACATTAAGTCTTCCCATCTTTGAACAGAAGATGTCTTTCTATTTATCTATGTCTCCTTTAACTTCTTTCAGCAATGTTTTGTAGTTTTCAGTGTACAAGTCTTTCACCTTTTTGGTTAATTCCTAAGTATTTGATTCTTTTTGATGCTATTGTAAGTGAATTGTCTTAATTTCCTTTTCAGATTGTTCATTGTTAGTGTATAGATGTGCAACTGATCTTTGCATGGTGATTTTGCATCCTGCTACTTTGCTGAATTAATCTAGTTTTATTTCTTTTTTTTTTTTTTAGTTCTCACTCTGTCACTCAGGCTGAAGAGCAGTGGCATGTTCAAAGCCACCACAGCGTCGACCTGCTGGGCTCTGGTGATCCTTCTGCCTCAGTCTTTCAAGTAGCCAGAACAGCAAGTGCACGCTATCACACCTGGTCAATTTTTGATTTATTGTAGAGGCGAGGTCTTGCCACGTTGTCCAGGCTAGTTTCGAACCTGCGGGCTCAGGCACTCTACCTGCCTTGGTCTCCCAAAATGCTGGGATTACAAGCTGAGCCACCGAACCCGGCCATTTACTTTATTAGTTTTAACAGTTCTATGGAATCTTTAGGGATTTCTGCATATAAGATCATATCATAGGGATAATTTTACTTCTTCCTTTTCAATTTGGATGCCTTTTATTTCCTTTTTTCATCTAACTGCTTTGGTTAGAACTTCCAGTAGTATGTTGAGTATAATTGCCTTGTTCCTGATTTAGAGCAGAAGCATTCAGTTTTTCACCATGGAGTATGATGTCTTGTGAGTTTTTCACATATGACTTTTATTATGTTGATGTAGTTCCCTTCTAAGTCTAGTTAGTTGAGTGTTTTTAACATGAAAGAGTGCTGAATTTTACCACATGCCCTTTTTTAGTATCAACTGAGGTGATCAGTATTTTCCCCTTCATTCTGTTTATGTGATGTATTACATTTATTGGTTTTAATGTGTTGACCCATCCTCGCATTTCAGGAATAAATCTTACTTGGTCATGTCTTTCAGTGTGCTGCTGGCTGATGAATTCAACCTGCTTGCTTTTATTGAGGATTTCTGCATCAACTTCCATACTGGTCTGCAGGTTTCTACTTTGGTGCCTTGGCATCAGGGTAATGCTGGCCTCACAAAATGAACTAGTGAGCGTGTCCTCCTCTGCAATTTTTTTGAGAAGCTGAAAAGGACTGGAGTTATTTCTTCTTTAATTGTTCACTAGGATTCACTAGGTCCAGGTTTTTCTTTGTTGGGAGATTTTTAAATTCCCGATTTAAACGCCTTACCAGCATAGATCTATACAATTTTTTATTTCTTTGTGATTTGAACCAGTAGGCTGTGTGCATCTGGGAATTCATCTGGACTATCCAATTTGCTGATGTACAGTTATTCACAATAATTTCTCATAATCCTTTCTATTCTGTAGAATCAATAGTAATATCATCACTTTAATTTCTGATTTTAGTAACATGAGTCTTTTCTCTCTTTTTAAGTCCACTAATAGCTTGTCAATTATTTTGATCTTTTCAAAGAAAAAAAATTTTATTTCATCCATTTTGTCCTTTGCTTTTCTATTTCCTGTTTCATCTATCTCTACTCTTTCTTTCCTTCTGCTAGCTTTGGGTTCAGATGGTCTTCCTTTTCCAGTTCCTTAAGTTGTAAAGTTAGGTTGTTGGCTTGCGCTTTTTCTTTCTTTTCAATGTAAGCATTTTATAGCTATACATTTCCCTCTTTGCACTGCTTCTGCTGCATTCTATAAGTTTTAGTATGTTATGTTTCTGTTTCCATTTGGCTCTGAACATTTTTTAATTTTTCCTGTGATTTCTTCTTTAATCTACTGGCTATTTAAGAGCATGGTGATTTATTTCCACACTTTTTTGTGAATTCTCCAAGCCCTCAGGGAAGCCCAAAGCCAGCTTTGTGGCTGACTACAACCACACCACACCGATGGGGTGGTTCCTCAGAAGACTCAATTGTGACAAAAAAGTCAGGGATTCTGCCAAAGTGTCTCCAGCGCCTCACGGTCTCAAACCAAGTCTGGAAAAAACAGAAATGCCAGGGGAGACGTGTTCTTCCGAAGAAACAGGCATGGGGTTCTGGGCTTATTTTGTCAATGAAGGGGCTCTAGGCCTGTCCGGGTTCACAGCCTGGTGGAAACCCGCTGTGGAGCCTGCACTCTCCTCACAAAGAGCTCACGCATCTCTGTTTGAGTCTGACTAATAATTTTCCACAGATTCTTTTGGCATTGCAAATACTCAAGTTTTTACTGAATGTCGAAGAAGCAGAAGCTGCCTCCGTCCTCCCTCTTTAGAAAACACCCACAGGACTAGCCTCTGTGCTATCAGTGTGCTCCTAGGTATGTGGCCCTGGTTGTGTGTGGGGGGCATCCCCTCCTCCTTGAGGGGCTCCCAGCATGGAGCCTGGGAATGTTGGGGTATGCCTGGGAGGAGCATGAAGGTTGAGCCAGAGTGCGGGGTCCCGTGAGGGGCAGTGTGGGACAGACAGAGGCCAGGACGACAGGGTAGTTTTGGTGGTGGAGCTGTGAGCTGCGGTCTCTGCCTGGCCCTTTGACAGGGACAACTGCATTGTGGGAGCAACTCCAGCATTCCACTGTCTGTGGGTTTCGTGCCACATGTTCCTCGGGACATTTGGACAGCAACCACAATCCACCATTGTGGGTTGTGGGCACACCCGTCCACACCCCAGTGCCCCATCAGGAGCAGGCTCTGCAAGGACTTCCTGTGGAATCTGGAGGCACCTAAGGGCACTTGTGCAGCACAGAGGCTGAGAAGCTCTTACAGGTCTTTTATTTTTTATGTTATTTATTTTTGAGTTGGAGTCTCACTCTGTCACCCAGGCTAGAGTGCAGTGGCACGCTCACAGCCAACCCAGCGTCAACCTGCCGGGCTCTGGTGATCCTTCCACCTCAGCCTTCCAAGTAGCTGGAACACCAGGCACACGTTACCATGCCTGGCTAATTTTTTATTTATTGTAGAGACAAGGTCTTGCCAAGTTGCCCAGTCTGGTCTTGAACCTGTGACAGGCAATCCACTTGCCTCGACCTCTCAAAGTGCTGGGATTACAGGTTGAGCCAATGATCCCAGCCTTCTTATAGTCTTTAACATTATATCACTTTTGTGTTAAATTATATCATTATACCGACTATATCATTTTTCCCAATAAGCACACAAAGTAGATGAAAGGATTGCTAGGAACTTGACCTAGCCTTCTAGTTACTTTTTTCACAAAAATTTCACTTAACTGTGTAGACATTTTAGCTTGGTTTGGGAAGCAAAAACACAGAGAAGTTGTTTTTGTTTTCCATCAACAAGATCACGTCTTCACAAATTGCTTTTTATGTAGGTGCTGAACTAATTTATTGATCTGTGGTGAATCAGCTTAAGCCACTAACTTTAGAGAAATGCATTTCTGAAATATAAACAAATACTGTCTTTCCCAGTCTGATTACAATCAAACTGGAAGTTCAGATTGAAAATCTTCTTTTAACAAAATCACATATTCAGAGGACATCTCAGGGTCACTGACTCTTCCCATCATTAATGAGAATGCCCCTCAGTCTTTCTGAAAAGCACGCATCTGCCTTTTTCTTAAACTTCCAATTTCTCGGTCCTCACTGCTATATAAAGTTGACTGCAGTTGAGAAAGACCAGAATCTCAAAGGAATTTCCAAGCCTTGAGCAGAATACTAACATAAAACTTCTTGGTTTCTGATTTTTAAACCCAAAAGCTGGGTAGGACACAGGTAAATAAGAAACTTAAGTGCTTCTGACATGTTTATGAAAATCAAGGTTGGCAATCAAGGTGCACTTTCCTTGTGTGAGAGAAGCTCACCTGAGCTCTGGAGTAACGTAATGCGAGCTTTTAGGAGAAAATGAACAACGAGCCCACTTATCCAGTCTTAAATCCTGACTTCATTGCATCAGGTTTGTTCAGCAGGCTGGGCTCTTCAGCGTTCATCTAGAGTGCCCAGGCAGCTTCTGGTTCAGACCTGCTTCCTCTCTAAGAATTTGCTCCTTGACTTCTGTTTCCTTGTGGACGGGAAGCTCAGACCGTTTGCCCAGGCGCCCACCAGGGACAGCTCACGCTCTGCCGGGCCTTGGTTCGGGCCTGTGTCTCTTGCCCAGAGCCCTTGATCGCCTTTCAAAAGTGCCTCCCCAGCCGGGCTCGGTGGCTCAGCCTGCAATCCCGCGCTTTGGGAGGCTGAGGTGAGTGGATTGCCTGAGCCCGCGGGTTTGAGACCCGCCTGGGCAACTTGGCGAGACCTCATCTCTACAATAAATCAAAAATCAGCTGGGTGTGGTAGCGTGCACCTGTAGAGGCTGAGGCAGAAGGATCGCCGGAGCCCAGCAGGTCGAGGCTGCAAGCCACTGCACTCCAGTCTGGCCGACAGAGACTCCAACTCAAAAAAAACACAAAAACACAAAACAAAAAAAAACAGTGCCTCCCCTTGGAGGGAGGGTGGAGTTTTCCAAGCATCCCACCATGCCACCCTCGCCCCAGACCTCCCTGGGGCTTTCCTCTCCAGCTGCACTGAACACCCCCCATGCCCCACCCCGACTTGTGGTGCTTTCTGTCTGGATGTCAGCCGTGCTCTCTCCTCCCAGGACCCCTCCTGACTGCAGGGAGCCCCCTTGGCCCTTTTCCAGTCCAGGGCCCTGTCACTTGCCCCCAGGCTGGTTGTGCTCTACCGGTTTGGCCACATCTGCCCAGCCAGTCCTTGGGAATACCAGCCCAAGCCCGACCTGTGGACCCTGTTCTCTGAGGCAGCCTCATGACTGAACCTGTCCCAAGCAGGATGTGGAGATTTCCCAGGAGCAACCATTGTCTGTGAGAATAAGAGGGACGGCCAGAAGGACCAATGTAAGATGAGGGAGGAGAGGCAGGGTCATTCTCAGGTGGAGGGAGGTCTGGCCTCAAGGTGGGGGCGGGGAGGGCTGGCCCAAGATGTGGGGGGAGGAGGACTGGCCGCAGGATGAGGGGAGAGGACGGCTGCCCGCAGTGTGGGTGCTGCACTCTGCCAGCCACTGTCACTGACGTCTTTCTTCTCCTTGCACACACCTTCCTCTGCATCCCTAACTCAGCGTCCTTGGTGAGGACAGCAGCCTTGCCTGCACCTCCAGCAGGAACAGCACAGAGGAATGGGTGGGCTGTGGGAAAGATCCCATCCACAGCGCCGGGCCCCAAGTCTGATGGAGATGCTGCCCTAGCTCCATCCCACAATGCCTTCCTCCTGTTTCCAGGCACTTCCTATGTCCTCTGGATGTTGGTGTGAGTGTTTTGTTTTGTTTTTGAGTCAGGAACTCACTCTGTCAATGTGTCTCATGGCTCCGAATGGCACCACAGTGACCACGCTGACCCTGTCCCTAAGCTTTCTTGGATTCATACCCCAGTGAGCTGTAGCCACTCCTTCACCTTCCATGCTTTTTCTAGGGGGCAACACACACACCCCGTATCCCAAAGAGCGGGATGGCAGACAGGTGTGCTTGGTGGGAGGAACCACCTCTGCCCCTGCTGCTACAGACGCCAGCACAGCCTGGGTCTAGCTGGCTTTGCTTCGGGTTTGCAGCGGCCCCAGAGGTCGGTGCATCCCAGACCCAGTGGCTGAGCCAGGGCAGCCTTCCCAGTGTCTGTGTCTGGCACTGCAGGAGGAAGAGCTAGACACCACGGGAAAGCCTCAGGCAAGAGGCCTCACGGCATAGGGCCCATCCATCCCAGTCTGCACTGGTGTCTGTGTGTTGGGAAGGAACGAGCGGCCGTGGTGCTGAGACACTCCGGCGCCCCAGGGCTGTCAGGACCCAGCCGTACCTGCAATCTTGCAAGCGCCTGGGAGAGTGCGGATGAGGCTGGGCTCTTGCGCGCATCTACCAAGACGACCAGTCCCAGGTCCTGAACCTCCTTTCTGGGAGAGCAAGACAGATGGTCTTAGCCACAACAGGTTAGCTCTCTGACCAAAACGAGCTCCTCTGTCTCCGAGGAGTTGCCTGCCACCCAGACTTCTTGCGGCTCTAGCAGTTGGGAGTCCTCTCCATTAAACACACACTAGTGGGCAGCCCCTTCGGGTCCTCTCCCACTGTGGGAGTTCTGTCCTCAATAAATCCTGCTTTCAAAAAAACAAAACCACATGCCAATAGGCTGCTTCCTGGGTTGGAGGGAAGCTCTTCCCCAGCTGGAAACACTGCCGTTATCATTCCTGTAATCATCTAACTGGGGTAAGCACTGTGTCTGGGCACAAGGAGCTGGCGAGTACTTTCTCCAAAATGTCCACCAAGGCCCTTCCCACTCCAGCAGGGAAGCAGAGACACTGGAGTTTTCTTGAACTGGTTTGTTTGGGCTTTAATATGAACTAGAGGTTGATTCTGATGGCAGGTGGACTGCCTGTTCTCAAAACAAAAGCTACTTATCCAGAGCAGATTTAAGACTGTTGGAACATCTTTTGGAACCAAAAGTGCCATCACACGCCTTTGAAAACGCCCATTAAAAACTGTGTCTCTGAGGCTGATTGGAGACTTCAGTACTAAACAAGGAAAAATAATAGGCTAGGGTGAGTTGATATATTCATTCTCCAAAATCTCAGTGTCCTTTGAGAAACTTCTTCAGCTCTAACTCCAGAGCTAATTAATATTGTAAGTAAGCTGTGTTTAGGCACTGATCTCAAAGTGCACACATGGCATTCGGGATAAACCAGTGACATGATGGAGCCCTCACCCAAAGGGCAGTGGACACACAGATGCCATGTTAGTGGCAAGTCCTGGTCAAAAGGAGTGTGTCTGTCTGTCCCACAGCCAAACGTGCTCAATCTTTGGTGCCACTGTCATGAATTTGTATTGAGGACAGGAGTTGCTGTTCTAGAGACCAAAGCTGGAAGCTCTTTGGTACTGACTGCTCAGGAAAGACAAAGTAGGGAGAACACAAGGTCTGGCCATGGACCCTGGTCCCCCTAACCCCAGTCTCCTGCTGGCCTCTTCTGCTGTGGGCCTGGAGCCCAGGGGGTCTGAGAGGGCAGAGCCTGGCCCTGGTCCCACCTGGGGACGCCGCAGAGGTACATCAGCAGCTGGGTCAGCTTGGCACAGGACGCGTGTTCACCAGTCCAGAGCGGGCTCCTCGTGCAGACTTGCACCACTGCCCTGCCTTGGCGGTCGCGAGTCCCTGCAGAGGCAGAGCAGCATCGTGAAAGGTGGCAGCTGCCAGGGTTTTTAGGCTGAGAGGTGGCAGGGTAGAGCCTGTGCTGTGGACTTGGACATGAGCTCTGCCGAAAGGAGAGCTGGGTGTGCACTCACCTGGGCAGGCGATGCTCACGCTCACCTGGGAGGGCGATGACCCCCGACTGCAGAAGCTCCTGGTCCATTTCCAGCACCCGCCTGGGCAGGTCTGTGTCAGGTGGCCAGCACGGGCATTCAGGGCACAGCCGCTGGGCAGACACATCTGAAAGCCTGCTGGGGTCGTGTCTCTGGAAGTCGCTGCTGTCCATGTGGATGCAGGCTGAGGTTGGAAGAGCATTTGACAAGGAAAGAGGCCTGGTTAACCGAGAAGGATTTCCCTGTGGTTGGAAGGCGGCAATTAAACTCGCCACACACTAAAGGACAAGGACACATGCAAAGAGAGTGGGGCCCACAGCCATCTGTCCCCAGCCAGAAAACAAAGGCAGGCCCCACTCGACAACAGGTGGCATTTCAGGTCTCACAAGCATGCTCACTGCCTACAGACACCCCAGGAAGAAGCAGGTTTAGGAGCAATCTCATTCTAACGCATTTGCTAATACAAGTGTCATAAAAGTACATCCACAGGGGCAGGGGCTGTCCGGGAGAGAGTGTGGCGGGGTCAGAGGAGGGGGCTTCATACTCCTGAATCACCCCAGACGGGATGCCTTTCGTGGGAACACCTGCCCAGCGAAGGGGGTGTGCCCTGCATGCAGGCACCTCCCCTAGGCTGCGGGCTTGCTGCCAGCACCAATCCCACCCACACATCACACACAGACACAGGTTAGGCAGATCCAACATCTCACGGCCCGGTGGCCCCAGTGTGGGGGGGGGGCAGCCCTGGCTGGAGCCGGAGCTGCCCAGAGGCCACCCAGAAGCTGAGGCTGTGATGCCCATGCAGGGAACCAGCCTGGGCTTTGCTCTCTTCTCTCTGAGCTTCTTCCCTAGCTTCCTTCAGTGCTAACATTGTGTAACTCGTTAATAACGCTCTCATTTTAACTGGGCCAGAAGAGTCCTCAGTTGGCCATTCTTCTCCTCCTCCTCCTCCTTCCAATAAAAACAGCTTTACTGAGGTGTATTTTACATATCATAAAAGTCACACATTTCGGTGGTTTTGGCAACTTTACCAAGTGGTGCGCACACTGTGTGGCCTCCTGTGTCTGGCTCCTTCACTCCCATTTTGCAGTCCATCCATGGTGTGGCAGGTGTCTGCACTCTGCTACTCGTGACTGAGTATCACTCTACTGTGCAGATGGGCCACATTTTGTTCACCCATCATGGGTTCGTGAGCTTCAATCTATAGTATTCTTTTTTTTCTTTGAGTTAGAGTCTCACTCCATCACCCAGGCTGGAGTGCAGTGGCATGCTTATGGTCACCCCAGCATCGACCTGCTGGGCTCTGGTGATCCTTCCACTTCAGTCTTCCAAGGAGTCGGAACTACAGGCATGCACTACCATGCCCGGCTAATTTTTTTTAACTGTAGAGATGAGGTCTCGTCAAGTTGCCCAGGCTGGTCTCAAACCCGTGGGCTCAGGCAATCCACTCGCCTCGGTCTCCCAAAGGGCTGGGATGACAGGCTGAGCCATCAAGCCTGGCCCCCATAGGATTCTTGAGAGTGAACTTTGTCATGTAAGTGCACATGTTTTCTAAGATACATCACAGGCCAATGGTAACATTTTGAGGTCCCCATATTTCCAATTCTACAGCAAACTGCAAACTCCCTCACATAAACAGCAGACGTCACATTCCTGTAAGACAGTTTCCATTATTCATCTTTTGGCTGCTTCTGTAGGCTTTTCCTGAATTCGGCCTGCAGATCCTGGGGCAGTGAGAGGAGGGGTCTGAGGTCTTGGGATGGCCAGGAATAGAAGCAGATGTCCACCTGTGGCTAATCAGGAACTGGCAGCTCGGTCACCCTCTGTTGATTGAATGACCCGAGCATGGTATTATTAAGATAAACTCTGAAACAGTACAGCTAGGGCTGCAGTTTGGTTAGTTTGATGTTCAGAGAGGAGACGAAGCAATGTCTCAGGAGCTGGCACAACAGCCACAGAGAAGGGAATGCAGGAACGGAGGGATACCCTGGAACAGGAGCAGCCAGTGCCTGTTGCTGCGGGAGGGCAAGGGGAGCTCCACGCTGCTTGCTTGACTCCGGCGTCAGCAGAGGCGTTCCCTGCACTGGCCACACAGGGCTGGCCACACCACAGCTTGTCTGGGCCACAGGAACCAGAGGGCATTCTGCAGGTCCGTCTCGGCGACATGTGGGTCACCAGTCAGATGACCAACTACCCAGCCCAGCCTGTGTGCGTCCCCGTGTGGGTGGGCACCGCCTCTGCCCCCCAGAGTAGCCTTCCTTCCTCCCACAGGACGCTAGAGATGGTACAGGAGGGCTTGCCAATGAGGCAGAGGGAGATGAGGCCGAAGACTCCATGGTCACCACCCCAAGGGAACTGGCATCGCAGGATCGGGCACAGGAGGGGAAGCAGTGCTCTCCCAGGAGTGACACTGCCCCCAGCTTCAGGCCGAGGGACTTCACTCCTGGACAGCCCTCAGTTACTTCAGGCGTCGTTTCTGAACCAGTAGGCAAAGCCCTCCAGGCCCAAGAAAAAAGACTTGGGAATTGCATATCATCTCTGATGACAGAACCTCAAATCCTCAAACGTACTTTTATGCAAACCGATGCCAGCCAGTCCAGTTTGTCTGCACCATCGGGTGCCCAAGTGTGGACGAAACACCTCCTGTGTGACGTCAGGTGCAGCCTGTCATCAAGCACTGTGACTTGTGTCACAAACGTTCTGAGTGATGCCACACCAGTGTCCTTGACAGGGTCTGCACAGTCGCATTCGTTCCAGAGACCCGCTTGATCACTTCACACTGACAGGAGACTTGACTCCATTTGTCACCGCCTCAGACAGCTGGAAGGGAGCACCTGGCCTTGGGCTCACTACAGTGTTCCTTGCGTCATCCGTTGTGTGTGTGTGTGTGACTGTATGTGACATGTGTGGAATTTTGCGGAGTGTGTGATCACGTGGAGTGTGTGTCACTGTGTATGGTGTGTGATGGCAATTTTGTGAAGTGTGACTTGTGGAGTGTATGTGCGATCACACAGTAGATGGGTACGTGGTTGTGCAATTTTGTGAAAAAAGAAGCCATTCAAAATAGTTGACTTAAGAGATCCGCTCTTTTCTTACTTTGCACCCTGCAGTGATCAGTGGGTGTGTGATCGTTGTGCCGTGTGTGACTGTGACGACTGTGTACGTGTCTTCTCCCCAACGCAAACAGGGAAGGCAATGGAGGCAGGAAAGTTTAGGGGTTGGAAACAATGATCAGGAATTATGACTTTAACTTAAGTCGAATTGCAGTGAGGCAATAGAATACTTTTAGAAAGTGTTAGCTCTAAGTGAATTGTCTTTTATACACCTCACTTGGTGGTAAAGCCAGAGTGTTCTGTACTCCCCACATCCTGCCAGAATTCCCAGCAGAGACAGCAGCCTCATTTTGGATGCAAAGGCCCTCGTGGTAGCAGCCGGGACAGGCCCACCCACAACTCTTTGGGTCTGCAAGAGCCCTCGGTGCCCCTGCCTCAGAGCCCCCTCAGCCGGCCAGGTAGGCGGGCTATGTGGACAGGCCCGGCTGGCCAGCAGGTCCAGGTGTGGCAGTTTCCAGGCATCACGTGTGGGAGCCCACAGGGTGGAGAGCTCAGCCCCAGATGTTTTGCTGAGGTTGGGTGCTGGGGCTGACCCTGCTTCCTGGGGCCCACACCAGCATGGTCACGCTTCCCTTACTTCCAAAACACTGTTTTTCCTCCCCACAGGATGCTCCTTTACTCAGAAAGAGAAAAGATTTGAAATATTCGCTTTAAGAAATCTGTTGTCATTCTCTTCTTTGTGACCTGCAAACACTCGGTGGCTCAGCCTGAAATCCTGCGCCTTTGGGAGGCTGAGGTGAGTGGATTGCCTGAGCCCGCAGGTTCGAGACC